TGACGCACAGTGGGATTGTGGCGATCCGCGACGAGTTCCGGCGGGCGTGGCGGCTGATCAAGACCATGGGCAAGACGGGCGCGGCGCCGGGTCTGCCGGACGAGGCGCTGCTGGACGACGTGACGGACATCAAGGCCAAGGAGCGGGACGTGTTTGGGGAGCTGCTGAACGAGATCCACGGGCCGGAGCTGGTGCTGTAACGGCGTGGGGGGGGGGGTGTACGATACGAATCGGGGCGGGTTGTTACGGTTGTTACGATTGTTTACGGAACGGGTGGTGGTTTGGATGGTGTGTCGACGAATGCTACGGATTGGGGGGTAATGGGCAAGGTGGGACATGGACATCAAGGTGTATGATGGTAAGGAGACGGAGGAATGGGCGAGGAAGAACCTGTACGAGTAAGGGACATTTGCATGGATCGGGGATGCTGGCGCTCTGTTGGCCGGATCATCGGGGGTCTCTTGGCGAACATGGGCTGTTTGCGTTATATTGCAATCGATTTACCAATTTACTGATTCACTGATTTGATTTGCGCCGGACGCATTCCGCCAACGTGTTGTTTACATGAACAGGGATAGCGTGAGGCCGAGGAGCGAGGAGGATGCAAGAGAGTGGAAGAGTGGGAGACGGCTGTTGAGGGTGTAGTGCGTCTGGCACTTGTACCAACGGTAGCGTCCTCGAACAAATCGGCCGCTTGTCAGACGCGTCTTGGTTGCACTACCGACTCGCGTCAACCTTGCAATTGCCCAAACACATTTCACGTTTAGCTTGCATTTTTGCGAAAGAATGTCCAGCACAACGTCGAGCGCGAGATGGCCGGTGTCCCGCAAATTGGTGCGTCGAAAGTGTACTGCCGTTTGGTAGGGGAGATTACGTCACATGCAAAGAGGCAAAGGGGGCTGTCGCTTCGCTTTCATGGCCTTGTGCCTTTGTTCCGACGGCCCATGTCGGAGTCAAAGGACAAGGAAGACGAAAAAGAGGACCAAAAGAAGACCAAAAGAGAGCAAATGACAATACAGAAACAGCCACGGGGAGGGGTGTTTGTTCGGGTATTCTGGAAGAGACGAGGGACATCAGCCCTGACGATAGACTGTACTGCGTACTGTGCATCTTGTATACCTCCTGTCTATTCTTGGCGCATCCAAAACAGCCCCATGACACGATAAAGCGGCAAAATAGGAGGAGCACGTTTCCGCCCAGCAGCAGAATGATGCCACTGGCGTCTGCGCACGGAATGATCCCATATTATGTCATCCCTCTTGTTGCAAGGTCGCGTTTCGTCATCGTCTGGATGCTTGTCACTCGTCCCCTGTCTCATGCCTCATTATGTTGTTTCTCCTCTTCTCTCCTCCTCTCCTCTCCTCCTCTCCTCTCCTCCTCTCCTCTTCTTCGTCCGCCTCCACCCGCCACCTCATTCTTCTGTCCATCCAGCGGGCGGCTGCAGGGCACATGGCCTTCCTTTGTAATTCCTTTCTTATTCTCCTCTGCATCACCTCGCAAGACTGTTTCCTCTCTCGTCCTTTCTTTTGTAAACCTGCTTCATAACATGCAAATATGCAATCGTCCAAACCCGCCGACGATCGGCAACATCACTCCCTGTACTCTGTAGCTCTCAAAGCTTTCGCGCCTTGGGGCCAACGCACGTCAATCAGAGGAACAACACAGGCAACGCATGCGGGGGTGCTGTCGTCGGCGGTCGCACAGGTGCCAGGCGCAGGCTTCTGGTTGGCCTCTTCCTTTGCAGCCTTGAGTGGCTGTCGCCGCGTGGGTCATGATCGCTGGTGCCGGCTGGGGGACTGACCAGAGGGGGAGAGGGGAAGGAGGAAGAAGGAAGGCGGCGAGTGGGGGTGGCAGGTGCGCACGCAGGCACCAAAGGAAGCTCATGCCAAGGCTGACGACTAATATGGGCGACGACTCACTACTCACAAACACAAGCTAACCCAGGACGGCCTATGACAGCATCGGCCAGACAAGCTGACAAGGCCCGGCACTGTGGGGTCATGTTCGCAGGCGCGGGCACAGGCGCAACGATAGGGTCTTGTAAGTTGGGGGAGGGGCGTGTAACCAGACTAGAACCAGAACTAGAGCCCTTGATGGGCTATTCGTAGGCGGGTAAGGCGGGCGTGACGAACAGAATGACCGCAATGGCCAAGCCGGCTTTACCCTGGCAGCGTGTGGCCTGGCTGTCAATGGTCGCGACTTCCGTTCTTGTCGCGTCATAGCCTCAACTTACTGCATTATCGTGCTGGGAAATGGCAGGAGCGACGGCCCAGATGACGGCGATGATCAGGCTGACAGACGCCCAGAAGCCATCAAAACACAATCAAACGACCCCAAATCGGACACACAAGACACAAAGAAACACAAACTACGCGCGATGGCACGGCTGGTACCTTTCTCTGAACACAGCCTCTGGCAACAGCCCTGTGCACTCTGCACTGCCGTGGCATGTCTCACAGTCGCTTCCTTTGTCTTCTCGCTCTTTCGCAGTTTGTCCAGGCACGCCCTTTCACTTCCTTTGCTCCTGCCCTGCCGACCAACCAATCCGGCCATGCCCTCCTCCCTTTCTCTCTCCTTCGCTGCTTCCGTCCGTCTCCTTTCCTACTATCGCAATCTGACTCTAGCCGCCGTAGGCAGCGTGCCTGCTGTCCCGTAGTGCCGTCCTGGTCCCTGTCCATCCACACCATTTACACCATTTACACCATTTACGCCCACGCCTCAACACCCACACCCACACCTGCCCTCAAGGCTAGAGATAACGCCTTCCCCCTTTCCCGATTTGGGTCTTTCCTCATTCACCCGAGGACGCATCAGCAGCCACCAGTTAAAGGGCAACAAGGTCGTGACCAGAGGTTCCTTCTTCACAAAGGCAGGAGACAAATAAATAGCACACAGTCGGCCCTCGACCCTTTCCCTTGCCACTCTCCTTCCTGTCTCTGCCTTGTCCAGCTGCATTATGAAATAACAACGCCAGCGACATCAACGACCACATTCCACCTGCAACTCATTCTTATCGTCCTACACAAGGCTGTGGAACACGCCTGTCCCTTCTTTATCTCTTATCAGCAACCACTGGGCACGCCCTGATAAACACCACAATCGTCGTGCTCGACACATCACGACCACTTGACACTCCTCATTGGGCCTCGTCTTTCCTTGCATCACAGCTCGCTCTTTTCGACTCGCCAGCGTCCTCAGCTGCTCTGTTTTCTTGTCACTCTCGTTCTTGCTCATTCTCTCGTGTACTCTTAATACTTTGTATCCTCTTCCCTACCCTCCCAGCGACTCCTTCTTCAACCACAATGTCGACCGCCCAGTTCGACCGCGATCTGCGCAGCGCCCACACCGACTTCAAGCGCTCCAAGGACCACCGCGCCAAGTGGGAGCACGGTGCCCGCGGCATGCACGCCGGCGGGCTCAACGTCTCGCTGGACGCCGACAACGACGCGCTCCTGGCCCGCGGCCTCCGGCCCCGGAAGCCCACAGTCCGCTACTGGGTCATGCCCAGCAACAACATCCAAAAGCCCGACCGGGGCCACCGGTCCAACGTCCCGCCCGCCCGCCACCGCGAGACCTCGCGGGCCCTGCTGGAGCTGCAGGAGTCCAAGGCCCTGTCGACGTCGGAGATTCTGCAGGGCGGGCCGGCCGCCCCGACGAAGACGACGCGGGCCGACACGTTTGTGGCTGCGAGCGCTTCGCCCCTCTACAGCTTCGACCACAACGCCCCCGCCGCGGCCCTCCCCCTCGACGCCTTCATCAAGGCCCCCACCGTCCGCGACACCGAAAAAATGATCAAGAACGAGTACGAGGTCCTCGACGCCAACGGCGAGGCCGTGCACGGCCGCAAGGCCCGCGCGGTCCTGCGCCAGGCCGCCGCCAACTCGCCCCTCACACAGCCCAAGCTCATCGAGGTGGTCGACGACGACGACGACGACTTTGAGCTGGTGTAGGCTGTTCGACGGTTGACGGATGACGGCTGACGCTGTCCGTCGACAACAGACCTTTCTTTCCTCTGTCATTCTACTCTGCATCGTTTACGACTCGGCGTTTTGGGTTTTCTTCGCGTCCGTTTCTTTTCTCGTTTCAGCGGTGGAGTTTCTTCGTAATGGATCGGGCTAGCATCTCAGTCGGATGAGTCTTTGTTTTGCATCAGGATTTGGGTTTTTACATTCTTTTTGTGTTTGTGCTCGTTTTTTCTTCTTTCCTTCCTACTGTACTTCTCATACTATATCTTTCTCGTTTCTTTCTTTCCTCTTTCGATGCGACCATGCCTTCTCTTCGCACCAAAGCTGGCCCTGTTTCCTTTCTTCTCTACTTTTACATACTATGTCTTGTATTTTCAATAGCTGCATATCTGCACGAGACAATCGCGAGAGAATACAACTCTCACCTACAGCCGCATCGGCAATACTATTTATTTTTTCTCAAGAGATCACATCTTAGCCAAATACTTCAACGGGACAAAAAGTCCTCAACACATGCATAAACGCAGCAACCCAACGTGAACGGATGGTCGTGCTGCTCCGAGACTCCGTAGTATTATCTCCGTTTCCTGCTCCGTCTTATCACGTAGCATTCAAACAGCGTCATAGGGCACTCGCTCCATACGGCCAATAGTGGATACAGCGGCACCTGTGCCCTGAGCAACATGCCGTGTGGCTGCTAGATCTTCCACTAGCAGCGAATCCACTGTTGTATTTGTAGCCGCCCGGCGCCTTCGGGAGGTCCAACAAGGAGCTTCCAGCCGTTGGCCCCGCTTTTTTGCTTTCCTGCTCTTTCCTCCAATAAGACATTAAAGGCGACTGCATGCACAAGCATCATTGTGACGCCTTGATGGTCGCAGCTTCCTCTTGTCATTCGTATTTTGTGCTACTTTATCGTTTTAAGAAGGAACCCCTAAGGAAAAAGGGGCATTGTCGAAAGAAGGCATCTTCGGACAAAAAGGGGCCGCTTCAAAGCCCCTAATCCTCCAGGCTCAACTTCTGGACGACAGCCGCACAATGAGGCTCGCGACGTTGGTCGCCGCAGCAGCCGGCCTGTTGCCGACGACCACTGCTTCCAACGCTGCCGACACGGCCGACACCCCACCACGCCGGATCGCCGTGATCGGTGCCGGTGCTGCAGGCGCCTCCACTGCCTACCATCTCCGCCAGTTTGCCGACCAAGACGGCGTCGCCGTCAACATTACTCTGTTTGAAAAGACGGACCGCATCGGAGGCCGCGCCCTCGTCGCGCACGCCTTTGACGACCCCAACCAGCCCGTCGAGCTCGGTGCCTCCATCTTTGTCGAGGTCGATGCCATTCTCCAGGGGGCGGCCGCCGACTTTTCGCTGCCGCGCATCCCGGCCGGCGGCGGCAACGACGACGACGGCAGCGACAGCGGCATGCTCGGCATCTGGGACGGCGACCGGCTTGTCTATACGCAAGACGACCGCGCCTACGGCTGGTGGAACCTCGTGCGGCTGGTCTGGACCTACGGCACCGCGCCCTACCGCGCCGACAAGCTCATGCAGGCCACCGTCCGCCAGTTCTTGGCGCTGTACGAGCCGCCCTACTTCCCCTTCCGCTCGCTCACGACGCGCGCGTACGAGCTGGAGCTAGCCTACGTGACGAGCCAGACGGGCGACCAGTTTTTGCGCGCCAACGGCGTGTCGGACCTATATGCCCACGACATCGTGCAGGCCAGCACGCGCGCCAGCTATGCCAGCAACCTGGCCCGGCTGCACGGCCTCGAGACCATGATGGCCCTGGCGCCGGCGGGCGGCGCCTCGCAGATCCGCGGCGGCAACTGGCAGCTCTTTGACCACATGGTGCGGGCTGGCGGGGCGGCCGTCCGCCGCAATACGTCGGTCACGGCCATTGATCTGGTGCCGGGCAGCGCGCCGCCCCACTCCAAGTACGTCGTGAAGACGACAACGACGACGCAGGCAGTCGATGGGGCCGGTCGTAGTGCGTCCTCGGATGACGGGGCCGAGTACGACGACATTGTCCTTGCCACCCCCTACCAGTTTAGCAGCATCGCGGCCGGCGACGGCGTCCTCCAGACGGGCATTGACGCGATCCCCTACGTCGCGCTGCACGTCACCCTCTTTGCCTCGCCGCTGCGTCTGAGCCCGGCCTTTTTTGGCCTCGAACCGGCCGCCGCCGTGCCCACGACCGTGCTCACCACCCTCGCCGCCGACGACGGCGATGACGGCGACGACGACGGCGCCGGCAAGCCGGGATTCTTCTCGATCCGCACCCTGCGCCGCGCCGTCAACCCGGCCACCCTGCGCGAGGAGTACCTGTACAAGATTGTTTCGCCCGAGAAGGTGACTGCCGCTTTCCTGTCCGAGCTCTTTGACATTGACATTCCGGACAGCATCACGGGCGAGCCATTGGCATCATCGTCGTCGTCGTCCGTCCCCCCCATCTCGTGGTACTACCCACACGTCTTCCACGCATACCCCAAGGGCTACCCCCGCGTCACGTTCCAGGACCCCATCGTCGGCGACGGCGTCTACTACACGTCCGGCATGGAGAGCTTCATCTCGACCATGGAGACGAGCGCGCTGATGGGCAAGAACGTGGCACGCCTGATTGTGGACGACATCCAGGGCCTGTCCACGGGCGAGACCGTGGCCCAAGGTGCGGGGGAGCAGGCAAAGAAAACGACAAAGGGCGGCAAGACGATGGCTGGCCTGCAGCCCGACAAGGGTCAACAAGTGGTGGGCGAGCTGTAGATGCAACTTCGTGTTGTCCAGGAGTCCAGGATTTGTCTAGTTTGGCGATTGCTGCTTTGGTTTCTATTGGCTTTTTGACTTTTTTGATACATGGGGATTTTGCTCCTTTCCCACATGACTTGCGACCCAACCACGAACGACATGGCATTGTGCCCTGTCACCAATCACCGGACATCGGTGGGGAAGAACATGGTGATGCACGCCGACAGCCATCATGAAACTTGATGTACGTCGAATACGAGAAAAGACCCCGTCTCACGATAAAGCGTCAAGTTTCCGAGGATTATCTAAGACATAAATCTCTCCGAGGCCATTGACGTCCAATTCTCTCCGAAAACGACGAGCTGACAAATGGCACGAAATTTGAAATATTATGTGCAATACGGCCCAATTGGCCGAGAAAGGAGGTCATTTCGGTCCAAAATCGTTGCAGCTAACGTATGAACATTCAACCCCTTAAAAATGACAACCGTCAAAGCCATGATATTTCCACACAATCGAACCAGGATTGCACAACATTGCAGTTGCAACGGGCCTCTGTCCTCCTCCCGGCAACAAATGTCGTGGGCGCACTATGCAGAGGCACTTGGGTGGACTGGCCCTGGTTGCACCATCCGTCAGCTGACAAATTCGTCATTCTCCCACATCGATCAACACCAACAGATGCAACACGACTGCCGTGTCGACAGCGTCAGTGTGCGGTGCATGGTTTTTGTATAAAGGACGCTGTCTTGCATGTTGCCAAGCACTCAAACTAATTGCAGCCGACAAAGTCGTACTCGCGATTCACCAGCCTTACCATCACCACGTACACTTCCATAGTTTCCACACGCACACCCACCACTCCCGCCGCCACCATGACAATCAAGGTTGCCCTCGTCGGCTTGTCCACCAACGCCGTCACCAGCTGGGCCGCCAGCGCGCACCTGCCGTACTTGCTGTCGGAGCGCGGGCGCAAACGCTTCCAGATTGTGGCGCTGCTCAACTCGAGCGTCGACGCCGCCCGCGCGGCCATCAAGCACTTTGGCCTGCCGGCCGACACGACGGCGGCGTACGGCAAGGCGGAGGCGCTGGCAGCGGACATTGTGGCCGGCAAGCTCGAGGTGAACTTCGTGTCGGTGGCCACGCGCGTGGATCTGCACTACCCCGTACTGCTGCCCATCTTGAAGGCGGTGGCTGCCAAGCGGCAGGATGCACCCAAGGACTTTGGCGTGTACGCCGAGTGGCCACTGGCGGCCAACCACAAGGAGGCCGGCGAGCTGGTGGATCTCACCCAGCAACACGGCATCCGGACCGCCGTCGGCCTGCAGGGCCGGCTGGCGCCTCCGTACCTGGCGGTGCGCGACGTGATTGCCTCGGGGCGGCTGGGCCGCGTGCTGAGCAGCAAAGCGTACGGCTACGGCGGGTCCGCGACGCGCACGGCGCTGCTGGAGTCGCTGGGCTACTTTGCAGACCGGTCCGTCGGCGGCAACGTCGTCACCATCACCCTCGGCCACACCATTGACCCGATCCAGTTTGTGCTGGGCGAGCTGTCGGCGACCAACACCAAGACGGTCTCGCAGCTGCAGCGCCCGCAGATCGAGCTGCAAAAGCCCGGCGCCAAAGAGGGCGAGTGGGTCGTGGCCAAGACGGTGACGTCCAACGTGCCGGATCTCGTGACGGTGGTGGGCACCCTGGACAAGAAGGACGGCAAGGGGGCCGAAACCGACAACTTTAGCGACGGCACGGCCACCCTCCTCGTGCGTCTGGCCCGCGGCGAGCCCTTCCCCGGCGAGCCCGCCTACATCTGGTCGATTGTCGGCGACAAGGCCGAGCTGCGGCTGGTGTCGGCCAACAATCTCGCGATCCAAGCGCTTGGCGACAACAAGAGCGAGAGCCCGTTGGCGGTCAAGCTGTCGCTCTACGACTACGCGACGGGCGAGGTGACGGACGTGCCCTGGCAGTGGCAGGACTGGCAGAACGCGCTGGAGCCGCTGCCGGCCCGCAGCATTGGCGCGCTGTACGAGGCGTACGCCGACGGGCGGGAGGCGGACTATGCGACGTTTGCGGATGCCCAGGCGAGGCACGTTCAGTTTGATGGCTGGCTGGACGAGTTTGAAAAGCAGACGCAGTGAGTGGGATGGAGAAGAGGGAGAGTCGATAGAACAGACACAAAACACAAGACACAGCATATAAAATAAAGCCAATACAACAGTGACGAGAATTGAGTAATCAGAATCAGAAATAAAGACAACTGACCAAAGACAAGACATTCCCAGTACAAGAAAATGCGAAAAGAAAAAAAAAAGAACATATAAGTGGAAGCAATGATAATCCCATCCATCCAAAACGCCGTTGTTTTCCACCCTTTTTTTGGCTTTTTTTATAAGAGTAGGCTCGGTGGCCCTCCTCACAAACGGACTCTATAGACACACAGTGCAGAACAATTAGTAACCGCCCCGGCCCCGGCCACCTCCGCGCGAGAAGCCACCGCTGCCGCCACGGCCACCGCGCGAGAAACCACCACCGCCGCCACGGGAGAAACCGCCGCCGCCGCCGCGCGAGAAGCCGCCGCTGCCGCCACGGCCACCACCGCCGAAACCGCCCCGACCGCGCGGTGCGCCACGGCCGCGACCGCCGGCACCAAAGCCGCCACGGCCACCGCCTCGGCCACCGGCGCCGCCCATGCCGGGCTTCTTGACGCGCTTCTCCGTGCCCGGTGGGGGCTTGGGCTTGGGGAGGAAGCGCTCAAAGGGCAGCAGCTTGTCGCTGCTGAGGAAGAACTTGTCGCCGGCCTTGAAGCTGGCGGCCTGGATGCCCTCGGAGGGCTTGATGGTGAAGTAGACCTGGTTGATGGGGCCGAGGACCTCGTCGACCTTGCCGACGTTGGTCTTGTTCTCGAGGAAGACAAAGGCGTTGAACTGGGGGATCTTGCTGGCGTTGACGCTCTTGCAGACCATCTCGCCCTCGCAGGCGTGCACAAACGCGCCCATCTCGACGACGGAGGCCGGCGGGCCCATGTCGCGCGGCGCAAAGCCGCCGCGGCCTGTTGCGAGCTACGTTAGCGTACGGATGCCAGACAGGCAGACAGGGCCGTAGAACCGTAGAACCACCCGCCATGATCATCCCGACTTACCACCACCACGGCCACCAAAGCCACCGCGACCGCGCGGTGCGCCTCCTCCACGGAAGGACATGTCGATTGGGGGGGAGAGAACAAGAGGAAGAAACGAATCGAGGAGGTGAGCAGCAGTCGGGGCTGTGGACCGTCGTTCGTCGTCGTCGGGTGGTCGTCGGATCTGTGCGGTCGCAGAAGAGACTGAACTTTGGCTGGCAGCTTTGGTTGTATTTTTTTTCTTTGGACACTAGATATTTTTTCTCAGTTGTCTCTTATTGGCTAAAAAGGCCAATTAAATGGGTCCCTTTCAGTTTTGGCTCACTTCTTATCTTATCGTGGAGCTGTGGGTCCTCACTCAGGCTCCTGCCATCCTGAGCCGGCCTTCTCTTTTTGCGGGCGACCCATAGAATTACAGTGGGTCTTTTGTCACGGTTATCCTCCAGACCTCCAGATAGGAGATTCATCGATGGCGGCACCCACACCAGACATATCAAATAAAGTTCTGTTCCAGGAACAATGCATCGTCATGAGTAACAATCTCGAATACGGTTGCTGAAATAAAACACAACGAGGTGACTCTGTCGACTCATCGCACTCGCATTCGACGCAATCGGCCACAACTGCTTCATTTGTCAATCACGCAAGCGGCGAGGGCGCTCCGAAGCAGGACCCAGCCGACTGCGGATGGGATGTGAGTGCTCGGTAATACTCCGCATAGGTTCAGGGTCGTGCTGTGCAGTGGCTGTCGCGGAGAGGTTACCGCTTGGCCTTGCAAGTGTACATTTCGAATGATATATAATGTCTGTTGGCCTGAAGGCATACGGAGGCGGCTTGTGAGAATTCGCGAGAGGCTTGCAGGTGTTGAGAAGCAGGATATTGAATGCCATGAACCCCCCCCCCTTTTTCTAGAGGTGCTTGCGTTTGTCGGTGACGCGTTGAGCAAGGTCTGGCTTGCTAAACATGACAGCTTCAGCTACTGCTACAACGTGGCGGAGTCGGCTGGTGTGCACACCTTTTGGCGCCTTCTCCGGGAAAAGTCCCCAGCATTGCTCCCATGTGTGGCCTGTTTTCAAGCATCCCTCGCACTTCTTCTCACCTGGGTCCCCTTGTTGACGCTTCACGGGGCGGTGGATCCCGCCTCGTGTGTTCGTGCGCGGCCTCTTCTTGTAGGTCGTCTTCTGAGCGTAGGGAGGAGGCTGCTCGTCGGTATTTTGAGCTGGCAGGCCTTTGTTGGCTGCTCCTTGAATCGCCCCATCGTCAGCTGGGTCGAGAGACGCTGTACACCCGAATCCTTTGACGACCCTGCCAGAGTACAAAGATCGAGACCGCTCAAGCCACGTCGTCGCCTGCAGCACCTCCGACTCCAAATGGGATGCGCGGCGGACGTCATATTCGTCTGGGTCCTTTGAGTTGTATGCTCGGCGGGTCTCTATGGCGATGTCTGCAAAGTGCGGAATCAGGACGACGTACAAGTCTCGTAACCAAGATCCAGATATCGTACATGGTAGGTTCAGCCGCCCGCATTCGTGTAGAGCGTTCCGCCAGCTCGTAAACCACTCCTTTGGCGTCCTGGCGATGAACTTCCCAAGGACTGCCTGGTACTCCTTTTCTGCTAGGAGCATTGCTTCTTCTTTGTTTTCTCCATAGTGCTTGTAGAGAAAAGCTAGCCAGCCAGCAATAGAGTCGTCTGGGAGATCGTCAAGCCGGTCTGCGATGTGGGGAGCCACCGACCGGTGGATCAAGGACCTGACCACAGACTGCTTATTATCGTAGGCTGTATAAAGCTCCCGCTCAGTCCAATACCGAGAGAACTCGGGGAGCTCTCCTCGGTCAAGGGTGGCCGGCGTAGCCGTTGGCCTGCCCGTTGGCGAGGTCTCTTGGGGGTGTCGTGGCCCCAGAGGAGTCCTGAGAGAGCCGGGATGTGGCCCGCGTTGGCACGCCCTGGGTGCTTGGAGCCGTCGTTCTTTTGGCTTGCGGTATAGCTGGCTCGATCGGTGGCTTGTCTCTTTGCAATCTGACAGGATCCCAGTACGTCCAGTAGCTGGCAGCAGTATCTCTCACCATCTCAACCCATTTGTACCAGTCCCGCCGGCTGTAGAGCTTCGGTGACACACAGTGTTCGGCCAAAACTGTATCCATTATAGTGTGTAGGTGAGAACGTTCGCCAAATCCATACCTGCCTCAGTTTCGCGTCCCTGAGCCCCTGTGGGATAAAGTGTATGATATTCTACAGGAATAGCAGGCGAGGCATCTCAGGGGCAGGACCACCTATCTAGGGACTAGCACGTGACCTGCTACGCTGGTGGGTCCTTCACAATCCCAATGGCGAAGGTTTGGGAGCCGCGCCTGTCGGAGCGTCCCGCTTATCGGGCCTTCCGTCTAAGTGCTATCAGTGCCAGACTGGGAACGGAAGGAGCGAGGGTGCCGAAAGCGGCGGCCAATGAGGATTCGGGGAAATGTCGGCAGCTCTTGTGCAGATGGCGCATAAGAGGGAAAGGGACCGCGTCTGCTGTCTGTGTCTGTCGTCTGTCTGTCGTTCGTGTGGACTCTAGTAGGGAGAGAGAAAGAAGCAATCGAGACTCTGTGGCTCCCACAGCATCATCTTCCAAGTTAACGCCAACACTCTTTGACCATGCCCCGTACCATTACTGTCGCCGCGGCCCAGATGGGCCCCATTGCCCACGCGCCCACCAACCCCGGCGGCCCGGCCTCGCGCGAGCCTGCCCTGGCCCGCCTGCTCACGCTGCTGGAGGACGCCGCGGCCCAGGGCGCACAGCTCGTCGTGTTCCCGGAACTGGCGCTGACAACTTTTTTCCCGCGCGCTCTGCTGACAGACGCCGCCGAAGTGGCTGCCCTGTTCGAGCCCGAGTCGGATGCGCCCGGTGCGCCGAGCATCGTGGACTCGCCGCACCTCCAGCCGCTGCTGGCACGGGCGTCGGCCCTGGGCGTCGATGTGAGCATTGGCTATGCCGAGCGGTGGACCGATGCCGCGTCGCCTCAAACGACGACCGACTACAACACGGCCATCTACTACTCGGCCCGGACCGGCGCCGTCGTGGCCAAGTACCGCAAGGTGCATCTGCCCGGGCGCACGACACTGCTGCCACCCGGCTCGGCGCAGCAGCTGGAAAAGCACTACTTCACGCCGGGCAATCTGGGCTTCCAGGCGTTTCGCATCCCCGGTGTCCACGACGATGACGGCGCCGGCCGCAACACCCCCCAGCCCATTGCTGGCATGCTCATCTGCAACGACCGGCGGTGGGCCGAGGCCTGGCGGTGCCTGGGCCTGCAGGGCGTGGAGCTCGTGCTGTGCGGCTACAACACGTCCGACTACAAGCCGCAGGAGCCGGGCAGCGTCCAGGAGCAGACGGAGCTGGCGCTGCTGCACCACCACATCAGCTGCCAGGCCGGCAGCTACACGAACGCGTGCTTCAGTGTCCACGTGGCCAAGGCGGGCGTCGAGGCCGAGGGCGCCGGCGGCGGCCTGATTGGCGGGACGGTCATCTATGACCCGCTGGGCCGCAAAGTGGCCGAGACAGCGACGCTGGGGGACGAGCTGCTCGTGGCGACGCTAGACCTCGACATGTGCGCGCGGCCCAAGCAGACCATCTTCAACTTTGCCAACCACCGGCGGGTCGAGCACTATACGCGCATCGTCGAGCAGGTCGGTGTTGTCGAGCCGCCGTTGTAGTTTGGGGGGAGGTGGTGGGGGGTCAAAACGCAGTCAATAGCATCGTCAGGGGAAATAGAAACTTGACAGTGATTCCAATGTATATGCACCCATCATTACACAAACTGTTGCCCAAAAACCAAGAGAAAGAGGAGAAAGACATAGCGTCTCCGACCTAGCAACCCTCTAACATAGTAGAAAAGACATCATAATAAGAAAGAAAGAAAACAGAAAGTAAACAAACTCCGTGGCAAAACAACATAATGAATAAACCAATATAAACGCATCACACATCATCCATCAACCCTCGCCTTGGCATCCTTCCCCTCATGGCGGCGACGCTAGCTGGCCAATCTGCATTTGTGTTTGCGGCCGCACGGGTGTCTGGGCGACCATCACATCGTGCTGCGTTTGTTGCTGCTGCGTTTGCTGCTGCTGCTGCTGCCGGAGCTGCTGCTGCCGCATCGCCTGGGCCTGCTGCTGGCTGCGCTGCCGCACAATGTAGTCCTGGTTCTCAATCGTCACGCTCTTCGTCATGTGGTTGACCTTGTAGACGCCCACGAGCCGCGACGCCAGCTCAAACATGTTGTTGCGCAGCGAGATGACGATAAACTGCGCGTTCTTGGTCCGCTCCTTGATGTAGTTGGCCACAATCGACACGTTGCGGAAGTCGAGCGCCGCGTCAATCTCGTCCATGACGTACAGCGGCGTCGGCTTGTAGTGATGCAGCGCAAACACGAGCGCCAGGCTGCTCAGCGTCTTCTCGCCGCCCGACAGGTTGCTAATGTTCTTCCACGACTTCTTGGGCGGCATCACGCTGAACAGGATGCCCTCCGAGAACGGGTCGAGCGAGTCCACGAGCTCCAGCTCCGCGTTGCCACCCATCGTGATCATCTGGTACATTTCCTTGAGCCGCAGCGAGATCGTGCTGAAGCCCTCCATGAACCCCTCGAGCCGCAGCCGCCGCAGGTCGTCGCACCGCTTCTTCGCCGTGTCGCGCTGCGCCACCGCCGTCGCCAGGTCCGACGACCGCGCCGCGTGCTCCTCCACCCGCCGCCGGTACTCCGCCAGCACCCCCAGGTCCACGCTGGTGTTCTGCGTCTTCTCCTCCAGCGTCGCAATCTCGCTCTTGAGCACCGCCTTGTCCATGTCGGCCAGCTCGTCTCTGCTGTACTGGTTGAACGCCAGCGGCGGCGTGTTGCTGTCGGTGCGCCGAGCGACCGGTCCCGACTGGACGATGGTGACGTCGCCACCGGCCTCGTCGTGTTCGTCGCTGCCGGCCTCGGACGACAAGGGAGTGTCGGCACTGGATGCGGTCTCCGCCGTCTCGCCCTCCGCGCCCTCCGCGCCCTCCTGGGGCTCCGTCTTGACCGTCACCGGCTTCGAGTACTCCAGGTCGTGAATGTCGTGCAGCTGCAGCTTCGACAACTTGTTCTCCCAGTAGGTCAGCCGCTGGTGGTTGTCGGCCAGCACCTTCTGGTTCTCCTCGAGCTTGTTGCGCATCTCGATCTCGACGGCGCGCGTCGTGTTGAGCGCCGCCATCTTTTCGTCGAGCTCCGCCTTCAGCTCCGCCAGCACCTGCTTCTTGACCTCCAGGTCCTCCTGCGCCTCCTCGACGGCCGCCTTGAGCGACGCCGCGTTCTCGTCCTGGCTCTCAATCTCCGCCGCCAGCGCCTCCAGGTCGCGCGTCGCCGCCTCGTGCTCCTTGGTCGCCTTGGCGTGGTCCTTTTCGAGCTTGGTCTTTTGCTTCTCCGCCTTGGCCTTGCGCACCTCCGCGTGCGACGTCGCCTCGTTGCTCGACGCGAGCTGCTCCTTGGTCGCCTCGATCTTGGCCCGCTGCGCCCGCAGCTTCTCGCCGCCCACCTCCATGATCTTGTCCTGCAGCTCCTTGATCTCCTCCTCGACGCTCGCCGTCTCGCCGTGCAGCGCCGCGACCGTCTTGTGGAGCGACGCAATCTCCGCCTGCAGCACGGCCACGCGCTTGTCGTCCGCCTGCGACGGCTGGTGCTCCTTGCTCAGCTCCTGGATGCGCCGCTGCGCGTCCGCCAGGGTCTTGGCCGCGCTCTCCATCTCGAGGTGGAGCTTCTGCATCTGCGTCTCCAGCTGCGGGATCTGGTCGCGCAGGAACCGCAGCCGGCCCTCGAGCTCGCGCTGCCGGTCCTGGAACGCGGCAAACCGCTGCTCCAGCGCGTCCCGGTCCACCTCCAGCTTGGCCACCTGCTCCTTGCTCGTGTCCGGCACCAGCTTCGACGACATCAGGCCCTTCTTGGCCGTGCTGCCGCCGCCCGACATCGTGCCCGACTTGTCAATCAGCTCGCCGTCCAGCGTCACCACGCGCCATCGCTTGGCGCCGTATGCGATGCGGTTCGCCTGCGCCAGGTCCGCCGCCACCAGCGTATCCTGCAGGGCGTGGTAAAAGGCCGGGCGGAAGCGGTCGTCCTTGGCGCGGATCAGGTCAAACAGCCGCGGCGCGTCCTCGGGCGTGCGGATGGGCGCGAGGTCGCGCGCGCGCAGCTTGTCCAGGCAGATAAAGTTGCCGCGGCCCATGTTGGTCTTGCGCAGGTACTCGATGCACTGCTGGCCCGCCTCGACCGTGTCCGTGACGAAATTGTCCAGCGACGGGCACGCCGTCGAGATGGCCACGTCGTACTTTTGGTCGATCGTGCCGAGGTTGCCCAGGCGCCCGTGGAAGCCCTCGATGCGGCCCGACTCCTTCATGCGCATCAGCGCCGTGAGGACGTTGCCCTGCGTCTGCGTCTGCGAGAGGCTGGACCGCGCCTCGTCGGCCTTTTGCCGCGCGTTCGACAGCTGCGCGCGCATCGTGGGCTCCTGCTGTGCCAGGCTCTCGAGCTCGGCCTCCACCTTCTTGGCCTCCTTCTCGAGGCGCGCCTTTTCGAGCTCCGCCGTCTTGAGCTCGTCGGCCTTGGCGTCGCGGCCCTCCTCGATGCTCACCATTTTGGCCTCCATCTCACCGAGCGCCGTCGCGCCGGCGTTGGCCTTTTCCTGGAGGATGGACAGCTCGCTCTCGGCCACCGCAATGGCCGACTGCGTCTGGTTGATCTTGTCCTTCCAGGGCTCGAGCGACTTCTGCTTGGCGGCGATCTGGTCGGAAAACGCCTGTGTCTTGCCCTTGAGGCCGTCGCGGATGCTGGCCAGGTCGCTCTCCTCCTCTTTGATCTGCGCCTCCAGCTGCGCAATCTCCTCGGCGCGCGTCTGGATCTCTTCGGTGCACTGCTCAATGGTCTCCGCCGCCTCCACCGCCGACGTCTCGGCGTTGCTCATGGCCTTGTCGAGCTTCTTGCGCTTGTCCGTCAAGAACTTGCGCTTCTCCTCGAACTTGACGCGTTCCTGGTCGAACTTGGTCATCTCCTTGATCAGCTCCTGCGTCTGCTTCTCGTGCGCCTCGCACTTCTTGCTGCCCTTGGCAAACTGCTTCTCGAGCAGCTTGATGTCCTGCTCGCCGCCATGGTGCTTCTCGAGCTCGGCGTCCAGCTCAGCCTGCATCTGCGAGATGGCCTCCTCGGTGACCGCCACGTTGTCGTGGCACTCGCTGGTGTAGATCTGGTAGAGCGCCGACTGCTTCATGGCGAGCTCGTTCTCGTCGCGGATGAATGCAATGGCCTTGTCCTTCTTGTCCTCGAGGCTGCTCTTCTCCTTCTCGACGTGCTGCACACGGCCGCTCTTCTCCATGCAGATGTCGTTGAGCGTCTCCACCTCGGTGGCCGCCTCCTCAATGGGCGTCTTGTACTTGGACGTGCCAATAATGTCTTCGAGGTATTCGAGGAGGCCATCCTCGTGCTCGTTCGCGGCCTTGGCCTTCATCTGCGCAATGGACTCGACCTCGCCCTGCAAAATCAGGAAGCGCTTGTGGTCCAGGTCCACGCCACGGTCCTTGAGCAGCGTCGTGACCGTCGTGAAGTTGGACGACTTGTTGTTGATGTAGTATGTGCTCGAGTTGTTGCGGAAGGCCTTGCGGGAGATGATCAGGTCCGAGTCGGGGATGACGTCCGAGCCGCCGCCAGGCTGATATGCAGTTAGTAGGGAGGCCATCAGTGACCACAGTGTACGGGCCAAATGCAACATACCAAATCCATCACTTCGCGGAAGTGGACGGCGACCTCGCAGTACTCCAGGTTCGGGTACTGGGCCGAGTTGTGAATGAGCGCAGACAGCTTGCCCTGGCGCATCTTGCTGGCGCGGAAACCAAAGACAAACAGCAGCGAGTCAATGACGTTGGACTTGCCAGAGCCGTTGGGGCCGACGACGGACGAAAAGGACGCGTGGAAGGGCCCGACCTCCTGGACGCCGGCGTAGCTCTTGAAGTTGGTCAGGATGAGGTACGTGATGACGGTGCGGGCCTTGGGCGCCGCCGGCTCGACGGGCGGGATGTTGGTCATCGTGCGCGACTTGAGCACAATGTCCATGGGCTTCTCGAGGATCGTGTCCATGGCGCGGATGGGCTTGGCCGCGGCCACCGCGTCGTCGGCGGCGCTCGTGCTCGAGGCCGTCCGCGGGCGCTCGTTGACAGACGTGTTGGTGATGTCAGACAGCGGCGTCATGGTCACGTCGCGCGCGTGGACTGTGTCATCGGCGCCCAACTCGTCGCCTGTTTCGTCCGCGGCAATGTCCACGGCGGCGTCCGCAACGGTCGCGTCAGCGCCCGGCGCCACATTCTCAGCGTCCTCGGCAGCTGGCTCCGGCGAGGGCGTAGGAATCGAGGACAGCGACGAGAGCGACGACAGAGAAGGCACATCGGGCGTTTCCGACTTGACGACGACCTTGGACGCAGCCACGCTCTTGCGCTTGCGCGGTGCAGGCTTCTTGGGCGCCACAGCAGAAACGTCTGCCTCGACGGACTGTGTCACCGTCGCAGCCGTCTGATCGGGGTTGAAGATCTCACTGGGCTCAATGGTCGATGAGGCAGCGACGGACGCGCGTGTCCGCCGTGGCCGCACGGGCTTCGCCGCGAGCGTGGACGACCCCTCGGCTGCAATGGTCTTGCGCCGCCCAGCGGCTGGCCGGCGTGGGCTACGCGTCGGCGCGGGTGTGAAGTCCTCCTCCTCGTCTGGGTTGATCGTTCTGTTGGTCATATCGCCCGAGATCTCGTCGTCCGATTCGACGATGGCGGTGCGCCGGCTGGCGGCGCGTCGCGTCGGACGTGTCGACATGGCGCGTGTGCAGTCTGGTGGGGTGTGCGTGTGTGTGAATGAGCGTTTGTAAATCTGGTTGATTCGTGATGTCGCAAAAGGCGTGGTGCCTATTTCGTGTCGGCAGTGTCGAATGGATCACGAAATATGGACGTTCTGCGTAAGGAGGGATGAGATACCGTAATGAGGCGCGACAGTGGTCGCCCAGACCCCCAGGGAAGGCGTTGCCCCGCTTGTTGTTGACTTGCGATTGCCGTTTTGGGTCGTAAACAAAACAAGGCAGAAGTTGCCCCACATAAAAACTGCCACCAAGTCATCAGCACGTGACTGTCTGGAACACCGCTTTGCTGCATATGGTGAAGTGCACATCGCCAAATGAAGCTCCGAGAGCTTCGCCAGCCAGAGCCGTGGTCAAACTCACAACCCGTTCTCCCACACAGCCACGACGACCGCCAACATGTCGGGCCGGCTCGACTTTCGGAATTTTAGCGATGTGTTCGGCAACGGCGACACGCTGCCGTACGATGCGCACGTCAACCGCGACATTGAGTCGAAGCGCAAGAGCCTCGGCGGCGTCCTCTTTGTCGACCGGGTCTTTACCGCGCTGGGGATACCAAAGGGTGAGCAGCCGCGGGCCAGCTGACGACCAGCTGCGGCATATACGCCTCCGGAGTGCATTGTGTACGATTGCCACATTCTAACAGAAAGCAGTCAAAATCTACCCCCCCAAAGACACGCGCACGCTGCACGACCTCTTCCAGCAGATCCTCGCCAGCAAAATGACCACCCACCACAAGCTCTCCGCCCTCTACTACCTCCTGCTGGACCACGACGAGGGGCTCAGCGCCCGCTCCAAGATCGCCGACAACTTCGCCGCCCAGACCGGCATGCCCAAGCGCTACCAGATCTTCATGAGCGGCCTCTGGCACATGGACCGCCTCCAGTTTGGCGTCGCCGTCGAATACCTCGCGCACCCCTCGCTGCTGCCCGAATTTGCCGACAACATTATCACCGTGCTCGTGCGGCACGCCGAGAACAACGACTACGCGCTGCCGCTGGCCTACTACGCGGCCGTGCAACCCGTTCTCAAGACGCAGGAGGCGGTGGAGCTGCTGTTTGAGGCCTTGGCGCGCACCGATGTGAGCGAGGCGTTTTACTACACGCGGACGCTGGCCGGGCCGGCACGGCAGCAGCTGTTTGAGCATCTGGTGGGCTCGGTGCTCAAGGATGCTGCAGGAGGCGGGAGTGGTGGCGGTGGCGGGGGTGCGAGCAGCAGTGCGGACGGGATCGATGCAGCCGGCCGGTCGGCCGAGCTAATCAGCCTGCCGCTCGACGCTCAGGAAGAGGCATGGCTACGGGCGTACCTGACGGCAGGCGAGGGCCGCAAGCTGAAGCGGGCCAAAGACACAATGATTATGAAGAAGATCGTGTCGGGCGACGTGGATCTCAGCGAGGGCAGCAAGAGCCTGAGCGGGCCGTGGGGCATTGTGCTGCAAGGGTTCCGCCACGAGACCGGCGGTGAGCCGTAGGGGGTGACCGCCGGCGGTGCTATGGATACTGTGGCTGTAAAGCAGGACAGTAGCAGCAGTGGAACTACAGACAAGAAGAATGAGCAGTTCGCGCGGTCGTACCGCGAAGGCTTGCTGATCGAGTTTTAGAGAGCATATGGCTTCATTTTCGTTTGATATTTGCAAGGGAGTTACAAGGTCTACTTGGGATTTGGGTCGTTTCCAATTTTCTGCAAGAGGACATGAATCAGCAATACACATTGTTTTTGAACAACTTAGTGTCGACAAATGACCGTCAACTACAGAGCCAGGTGGGAGGCACCGTGTGCATAGCCATTCACATCAGCAACAGAAGCACAAAGACATTTAGTTGTTTGGTCATTGACCTCGGCGAATGTTGACAGAATGAAAATCCGCCATGCTTTGATTGTAGAATACAGAAAAAATGAAGCCAATACATGCAGTACGATGTTCGGCCACATCCCAGAAAAGATAAATAAGAGAGATGAATACGAGATCCAACGTGCCTATATATACGTCAACCACCACCGTAAGCTACTCCGTATTGAACTGACCCCGTAGAGCGTCGACTTCGCGCCGCAGTGCGTCCAGATCCGCTAAAATATTGTTAGCCACGCCGTTGTCGTCGGGCCGGCCTTCCTCGCTCTCTTGAGCCGGTGCCAGGCCCTGATCCTGGCCGGGGCGCACACTCTCTGAGCTAGCTTGACGGGGCTTGGATGCCATCGAGGGCGATGCGTTCGAGAGAGCCGATGGGTTGGTCGCATTTGCCGCAGTTGACGCATTCGCGTGGCTAGCTGGCGCATCCATACTTCCACGACTACTGCCGCGCTGGCGCGTCGGAGGAGGCGGTGGTGGCTGTAGGGGCCCGACACGGCGGGCGATAGCATCAACACTGGCAATGCTCGATGGCCGCCCGCTGCCACTCCCAGCACCGCTGCCAACGCTGCCGCTGCTATCTGTCGATGCCAGGGCGGCAGGTCGGCTCTCTTTGTGGCGAACGGACGTGTTGCGCGCGGGTGGTGGTGGCGGTTTGGCCAGCAGCCGATTGGGGATGGGCGTGGACGAGCCGCTGCCACTAGTGCTGCCAGGTTGAGGAACCAGCGACGGCGTACTAGCCCCCGCGGGAATACCTGCTTGAGTACTAGGTTGCCGGTCGTGGTCGGACAGGCCAGGTGCGCTCAGCACGGGCGTAGAGCCAGAGGCGTTTGGTGGGGCAGCCATTGAGGGCCGTTGAACATGGTTGGCGCGTCGAGGTGGCGGTGGTGCCGGGACGCTGCCACCTGAGTTGGCATTGGCATTTGCGTTGGGTTTGGCGAGACTCGATGACCGTGAGTGGCTGTATGTCGAATCTAAAGAAGACCGAGGCGATTCGAGAGGAGATTTGTCGTGTAGCTGATCAGTCGTGACGGCATCGCCAGACAATGAGGCGTGCGGCGGTGGTGTCGGCAGAGGAGGCCGGTCGCCGGAAGGCTGGGATCGGCTTTCGGTGCGGTGATGCCCGGCAGCCTGCCGGCGCGGTGGCGGGGCTGGGATGGGCTTTTTGGTGTGAGGGGGAGAGGGTTTAGATGCTGTTGCCGCTGCCACAGTTGTGGCAGGTGCTGCAGAGGAGGCAACCAAGGCGCCGGCGCCGAGGTCTGAGGTTGGATGTAAGGGGGAGAATTCGGCTGAGTGAGACACGTTGGGGGGTGTCGGTGGTCGTGGTGGGGGAACAGCCTCTTCTGGTGCCTCGGGGTCGAGGTCCACCTCGGGCTGGTTGACGGTGACCTCGCGGTCGAAAACGCTGTCCATGGCGTCGTCATCTTCGTTCACGTTGGCCGGTCGGCGCGCGGGCGGTGGTGGAAGAGGCTTGTTCACGTCCGAGGGCGATATCGACGCGTCCTCGCCTCCGCTACTACTCTCCTTCGTTGGTGCCTTGATGTCCTTGGGCTGCGCCTTGATCAGCTTACCGTGCCGCGAGCTTGGCGGAGGCGGCTTCTTCCGTGGTGTTTGTCGTGGCGCAGGTTCGTCCACAGATAAAGCCCCGTGGATCAAGCCAGTGCGATCTTCGTCATTCTCGGAGATCTCATGCGATGTCCGAGGTGTTTCTTCAGCTGCAGGGACCGTGTCAAACCGCGCAGGTGGTGGTGGAGGTGGAGGAGGCGGCGCTGCTGCTGCAGGACCCTGGCCCGTCAACAACAACCGACTAAAGGTGTCCACGTCAAAGGTAGCCTTTCCAGAGGAGGCTGCCACAGCCGGGTCAGACTGCGACTCGCTCACGCTCTTATGTCCGGACTCCAGGTCTCCGAGTGTCTGTTGGAAGGGGTTTGGTGGTGGTGGTGGTTGCGCTTGGGAGGGAAAGGACGGCAAAGATGTGGCTGCCGAGAATGATCCAGTAGCGGCGCCTGTACTGCCACCGCGGCCACCGACAGAGTCACTGTCTTCTGATTCCGATTCGTCCGACTCGCTACTATAATCCTCGTAGTTCCTGACCGGGCGGTCGTCGAGCAAACCGCCCCGGGTGCCATAGTCGCCAAAACGCGTCGTAGACGGTGCGCCTGTCGAACCGCTTGCCGCACCAGACAAATCGGAAGGAAACCGCGCCTCAAAGTCGGCGTCGACGGAGTCGACTGAGGACGGTGATGAGGGCGGCGGGGACTGCACGCGCACCTTCTTGACAGGCTTGGGTTTCAGGAATGTCGTGGACGGAGGTGCCTCGGTAGACTTGGGCAGCGCCTGGAGGTGCTCGCGAAACGCATCACTGGTCACATTCGACCGGCCGCGCGGCGCATCGTGGTCCTCGTAATCGACCGCATATGAATCGTTCCCCAGGCCACTGTTGGCAGTTCGTCCGGGAGCTCCGGGAGCTCCGCTGTGGGTATGGGTGTTGGCGTCGGAGGGTGATTGAGGAAAGGTAGAGCTCTTTGCCAAAGAAGGATGTGGCGGAGCAGCTGTCGAGGCGGTGTCGAGGGCCAGGCCGGTAGCGGTGGTGGAGGAGGTCGGCGAGGCGATCGGGACGGTGCTCTTGCGGCGAAAAGGGTTGTTGGAGGCCAGCGATGGGTCTGCCATGGCTCCGGTTGTAGGTTTGCGCCCGAAGTATGCGCAATAGCTGTGACGCGTTTGTCAAAACGAAAAGGACCCCCGAAGATCACGGGGTGGAGAGCAAGAGTGAAGGGTAGGTGGAAAGTTAGAGAGGAACGGAGGCGGGAATTGCGGGTGAGGAGGAAGCCCTGCGCGCGAATGGCGGTGGGGATGATAGAGAAAGTCGATGAGATTGATAGGAGAGATAGTCCACAGTTTGGTGCCTGTCGTGTTTCTTCAGGCGCTGGAGCTGAATGACACTGGAGGATCGGGCTTGTCGGGAGCTGCGGGGTAACAGGAATTCAGCGTAAGCCAGGCGGGAAATTGGAGATCAACGGGTTCGAGAAAAGACAGCGCACGAGGCCGTTAGAGACGGTGATGTCGTCACTGCAAAATAGCTCGAAATCGGATAACGGGGAGCTGCAAAATCCGAAGAGGAGGGAGGCGAGAGAAGCAAAAGTACAGTAGACAGGTAGACAGCGGAGGACAGAAGTGGAGAGGCGAAAGAAACGCGAGGCCTAGTCAATCCCCCATCCGCTGATGCCGTGGTCCTAGCCGTGGTCTGTCGATTGCTTGAATCGTTGAGGAGGATAGAGAGAGACGAAGAAAATGGAGGGAAAGGATTGAGAAAAGAAGAAACGAACTGTCAAAAGCAAGGGACGTTGCTTAGCCTTTTGCTTCCTTCCTTTCTTCCCTCGCTTGCACCTTCGCAAGCTCGGTCCGTCGAACACGTTTTTATCGCGCAGCGTCAATGGTAAAAATGGCTGCCTTGTCCGCAGCGCGGATGAATCCACCTGAGAATGTTTGGCTGCTCACGCCTCGTATTGCCGCGCTTTAGTGGCTGCAATGACGCGGCGGTTGTCCAATGTCAATTGCAAATCGTCAATTGCCAACCGGGGAGCAATCGCAGGCCTGTGTTGCGGCAAGACGTTCGCTTCTGTTGAGAGAAAAAAAGCAAAAGAAAAGGGAGAAAAGAATCGAGGCCAAAAAGTCGTAAAGATCGATCATGGCACTACGACGAATCGTGAACATAAAAAGGGGGAAAGAGGGATATTGCGAGTCGCGCCCGGGAAGGCGCATAAAGTCCATTTACAGAAGTCGGGAGCCGAAATTGACGGCCGCCCTTTCTTTTCTTGTTCTTCCGTTTGGCTGAGCCTATTGTGCCATTCGCACCTTCCTGCCTGTGCCTCGTTTCTCTCCCGTGTCGCCATACTGTAAATTAGATGCCGTACGGCCTTGAGTTCACCAGTCTCCAAAGTGCGTTGGTGCTCTTTCCCTCCATAACGGCACAGCACGACGTCAGGAAGGAGCCCGCCAGACATAAATTGTGGAGGGAAAGAGCTACGGAGTCTCCCTCTCTCGAACCGTTTACATGTGTATCCCTCCATACGTCGGCAATTGGCGCTGTCGAATGATGCCACGGTGTGACAGACGAGGGGAGTTCAAGTGCAATCGTCGCCAATTCCTCCTCTCCCATAAGGGATGGATAGTGTCATTGTACGACAACTGCACGACAATCGCACGACGTCGGCTGTCGGAGGACGAAAGAGAGCAACATATTTGGCGAGCACAAAGGAAAGATCTGGGGAAAGAGCAATCGCAGCAACAGGACAGCTGCTGGCCGGATGGCGTTGGCAGGCAGCAGAGCGTGACCATAGCACAGCTCGAGGACAGTACAAGAAGCGCTAGGGCAGGAAGGTGCGCTCTGTCAGCTTAGTGAACGTCGCTTCTCCACACTCTTATGTGCAGCCTCCTGGACTCTACGAAGTACATTGTTGTCGCACCTTATTCATTATTATTGTGTCGTGGTGTGTCCGGTCACGTCGGCTTTCATTTTGCTTCGTTATTTTCTTTGTCTTCTGCTTCCAACTTTGTTGGGGCAGTGCTTTGTCCATCCAACAAGAAGGCCCCACTTTCTCACTCACCAAAACTAAGACCAGCCAGCTTGACCTAATATTTGCACGTGACACTTACACGGCAGTCTCCACCTTTTCGCCCGATTCGATAGGCCCAGCAGACTTTCCCCCAGAAATGTAAACAAAGAGCAGGAAATATCCTCCAAAATCATGCGCGTAATCCGTCTGACATCGCCCTCGTCGCCTCGTCTGATAACAGCAAAACCCGTGCTGTACGGTTTTTGCGCCGGCCTTACTCCATTGCGCTCTGCTATCCTGTTGGCCGTTTTATAGACGCCGAACAGCCATCGACATTGACGAAAATGGAAACATCGCAGGCCAATCACGTGCTTCACGGCATCTTGGATCTCATGAAGAACAACAACAAAAACTATAACGCGTGCCCCACCATAGTTGATCTGATCTTTCGCGTCGAGGACTCGAAGGTGACCCAAGCGTTATACACAATTTGACGACTTTTTGGCGCTGCCCCGTAGAAAAATCAAAACAAGACAGAGCGCGCGCGCCAGCCACAGCACTTGTTGACAATATGGCGATGTTTTGAAAAGCCTCACAGACGTAACATGACCGCCCGCTTTCATTTGCTTGCTTTGAGAATGATTTTGGTTATACAGAGCGTACGACAACAGCGCCCGTCGATCTGAAACGGAGAAAATACAGAAAAAGTGCCCGGTATACATATATATTTCACGCACACAGCAGGAAACAGACAAGCAGACACAGACACACATAATATACCATTTGCCCCCCACCCATCCTTCGCCTACCAATTAGGATACCTTAAACGCCTGATCGATCAAATAAAAAAAGCAAAACCAAAAACGGTGCCATCACACGTAACTTAAATCAGAGAGATCCAATCCTCCAGTGCAGCAAGTTGCAGTATATGAAAACCCGTTGCTCGTGAGGACGGGGAGAAGAGGAAGGAAGAATGTAGATGAGGTCGTCGTTGGAAGATATAGGGGTATAACAGCAAAGAAAAAAGGGGCATGAAACAAAAAGGCATTCAAAGCGAATGTCTTTATGCCTCGGCTTTCTTTGCTGCTGCCTTCTTCGGCGCGGCCTTCTTCGGTGCTGCGGCCTTCTTGGCAGCGGGCTTGGTGACCTTGCCAGCAGCAGCCTTGGGCTTAGCGGCAGTCTGCAGTGTGTTAGCAGCGTCCTGACAAGGGAGGGAAACAATACGACACGCGTCAGTGATTGCAACATACCTTCTTGGGAGCAGCCTTCTTGGCAGCGGCGTCCTTCTTGGGAGCAGCCTTCTTCTTCTCGCCCTCCTTCTTGGGGGCGGCCTTCTTCGCCGCAGGCTTGGCAGCGGGCTTCTTCGCGACCTTCTTGGCGGCAGGCTTCTTCACCTTATCCTCCTTCTTAACAGCGGCCTTCTTGGCCAGCTTGGTGCCGCCAGACGCGCCCTTGGGCTGCTCAAAGACACCCTTCTCAACACCGGTGCGCAGGGCCTTGTTGAACAGCGAGTCGAACATAGCATCCGTGACAGACAGGTTGTTGTTCGCCTTGACGAACTTCTTCAGCGATTGCCGGCTGTAGTGGTTGTTAGTAATCGTTGTTAAGAAGACCTGGGGGGGGGACTAGCGTAACCGCTCTCTCGCGGTCGCAATCAAATTACAAACAGGAAAAGAAAAAAAAATAAAGCTTACCTAGAGCCATTGCGGTCCTTGAGCTGTTGTTGAGCAAACAGCAATTAGTATGTGTCACAAGCTTTGGTGGGGAGAAAATATGGTGAGAGGAGGGGATGGACGTGGCCGGTCGTTCGCATCGCGACGTGACAATTATTGCAGTCATTCACGACGATAAACCGAGCCGAACAGCATATGAAAAGTGCAAAAGTAAAACACGCGACATCGGTAATCAATGCGCAAATCTGTGCAAGAAAACATAGCGGGTGGTATTTACCGAAACAATAGCATGGGTGATCATGTCCTGTCGAGATGGTTAGTAAAGTGATTCGAATTTTGCCTCATCGCAATTGCGAAATGGCGGTCGGCGCGCGACGCTGTCGCAAGGCCATAAAACCACGCGTACACCCCAGAAAATCGAAAAGCAGAGATAAACGAACCTGGTACGAGGCATGAGACGCCTTGGGCTTGGCCGCAGAGGCACCTTCGGTCTTCTTGGGAGGCATTTTGAAAATGGGGAGTTGGTGATTGATTGAAAAAATGTGATTTTCGAAAGTAATCGATCGCTGTCGCGTCGTGTTGTTGTCTGGTTTGTAGTTTGGTAGATGGATATCGCCAAGATACTATGCAAATTTGAAAACGTGTTAAAGAAGAGAAGAGGGAGAAGAAGAGTCGAAAGAGCAAGAGAAAGGAGAAAGAGGAAGAAGAAGAGGAAAGAGAAAACCAGGAAAGAGGAGCATCGGGGGGAAGGGACAAACATGCGCGCCTGGTGGGCAATTGTTTATATAAGGGAGCGGGGGTCGCGGCGCAATCAGTAAGTGCTAGTCCGTTATTTTGGGCTGGGCTTTTGGGGCTGGGCGCTTTTGCTGTGTTTTGCACTTTCCTTTTTCATCGCTCCTCCCCCCTTTCCCCCATTCTTGCCCTCTGTCTGCCTCCCCCCTTCCCACCGTTTCCCGGTGGCAAGTGCTACAGAAAACCAGTTGCACACTAAAAACACTCGACTGCAGGTCCCTAGTTCTCCGTCCACCATGACCTCTCTTCCCACGCACGACTTGCATCCGTAGACGCATGTCATTGGCAAGATACTGCGTACTATTTTGAGTTTGCGTAGCGGTGTTGCCAAACGTATGCATGGGCGGGGGTAAGGCTACCGACCATGACGGGTTCATTCGAAGCTTTTTTGTGTCTTCTCAATGATTGTGTCAGTATGTAGATGCTCAAGTGGGGACCTGCCCGGCGCGAGTCTAGCTCAGATGCATTGCGCGACACATGCGCTGCAAGGAAAGCACGAAGGCATTCCACATGACTGGCAGGTAGGACCAAGCAGAGCCTATGATCGAGGGTGCAAGTTGCTATACAGTGGTGAGCCATGTGCGATATAGAAAGAGCGATCGTGGTCAAGGTTAGGCAGGCAGCGGCGGTAGGACGCGTAGAAACGCCTGACCAGAGACGACAGGGAAGGTACGACCGAACACAACAGTGATCAAAGGACAAGCGCGATGAGGGCGAGGAAGGGAGAGGGCGAGGCACTGGGCGGTGGATGAACCCTAGACACGCGCGTTGCGGATCGAGGACCTGGAACGGCGGCGGCAGATGGCCCAAGCTTTTCAAAGCTGACCACCGGTGGCTGACATCCACATTCTCTAATGAAAATAAGTCGCACATTAACTGGACAAGAATCTCGTCAGACGGAGATGCACCTGCCCTCGCGTGCCCAAATTGGCGCAATCCACGACTGCTCTTCCCTTCTCCTCTTTCCCATTTTGTCGCACCGCGCCCCTCAATCGCGCTCCTATACTTATGAGGGAAGGAGCGACTGACGAGTTCGGGGGACAGAGGAAAGATGCTACGCCTACGGGCAAGGCAGTACCCGCAGTTGCCTCGCGTAGTCACCTCGCGAACACCCCGTCATCGCGATACCAACAGTCGAGACCAGAGACATGGAGCTTGCAAAGCCATTCACCTGGTCCTCACAAGCCTAGGGAGCGACCCGCATAAGCGCTGTGTCGTGCCAGATTTTCCTTTTCCAGACCAAAGTTGCATACCGTTTCTACCACTACCTGGTCTCTGAGTGTTTCATGTTTTCCCGGGCTCTCGCGATATCCACGTTTCACAAAGATGAACGCCCTACAGCGGTATATGTAGGTTATCTTTTACACATAGGTATCTCGCCGTGCTGTTGCACCACACTCGTCGCCCCATGTTACGCCGTTGGTGTCACGCCCCCTTCTTCCCCTCTCCTGATAGTGAAGAAACGGCGTTCTTTCGCGGGCAGAAGTGACCAGCGCTGTTGATTCGCTGTGACAGGTGATGCGTCCCATTCCTCGGTATGCTCATACCAATAATATGTTTGCAGACGCAAGCCCCAACAAACCCCAAAACAGAAAGAGGGAGAGGAGCAGCGCCACACGGCCCCATGCGGACGGTATGCAAACAATGAAGCAGTTATCCCAGTTTATTTGCGCGATGAGAGTGTTCTGGCCACGCCGCTAATTGTGATCATACCCGACTCAAACCGCCACCATTTTAGTGTGCGATAACGGGCAAGGCACAGAGCTCGGCAGACGATACGACATACGATGTACAATGCCACGTATCCGTGAGAGTTGAATAGGATGGATGGTGGTGGGAATGGGGAGGGTGAGGTTTCGGTTCGACAGGCCAAGACCCAGGCCAAGCCCATTCAAGTGACAGATCAGCAGGACGGGCGTCAATGGCGAGAAGGCCACACACAACAGAGCGGCTGGCAATGTTCCACACACTAACAGACAAGCATGTTCTCCACTCGAAAAGTAGCTCCGTACACGAATCCGTCCGTACGTCTGTAAGTCTATCAAAAGACCCCACTTTTTGGCTGTCGTTCTCTCGCTCCTTTCTGTTTTCCTCTTTCTGCACCTTGCCTTTCCCTTATTTCTCGCTGTTCTCGTCCCGTGCTTGCTCTTTCCTCGATTTCGTAATTCACAAAAGTTGGCGCCCTTTTTTCTGATTGGCTGCTCAGCACAACAAACAACAAAATAGCACCTGACCAAAAATCGGGCCCCTCGTGCTTGCTGACTTTGCGCGCAATCATGCGCCCCGACCGAGTCGTACCTCCCCTCCCTTTTCTCCCGTTTTTCGCAATCGTCGTTCTCGCATTGCATTTCTCTCCTCTTTTCTTTTTTTTTTCCTTGCGTCTTCTCCAGCTTTTTCGGTGGTTTGTTTGCCATTCCGTTGTAGTGTTTCGATTCTTTCATGCTTCTTTCCGAAGGTCTACTTCGAATTGTAACGGTCGAACTGAAGCAATTGCAAAACAGCGACATGATCGCGATCGCGATCATGATCGCAAGCTCGAAACGTCCTCGTTCACCGCTACATCCGCGACTCTCTCTCGCTCTGTGGATTATTTTCTTGTGTCCCTGCGAGTTCTTAATTTTTGTGCCCATTTTGTTCGCTATTTGCCTCCGTAACCACCGCTTATGTTCCCGCCGTCTCGACGAGCGCCGTTCTGCGATAACTCGATTTCCTTTTCGCCTCCAGCGATCGTGGTCATATGACACGTTTGGCCCAACAAATTGGGAAGTTGGCGTCACAAGTTCATCGTGCCCATCGTTCGCACCTTCTCGCTCGATGCTCAATTGCGCAGTGGGATTAATGTGGCGAGAGAAGGGCAACCCAAGCCCGTTGCTCGATGTTGAGGCTGTCTCGCGCTTTCTCTCCATTCTCGTGCTTCCCTGCCAGCTGTCCCGTTTTATCTCTTTCTCCCCGTCCTCTTTGCCGATGACAATATACCGTTTCTTCTTTTGGTTGTTTTTATTGCCATGTGGTCACGCGTGTGGCTCGTGATAATTCCTTGTACCTTCCTTCTCCTTCGCGACATCCCTTCTCGTTTGGTCGACCCCTTTTCTCGATTTTGTAATTTTGCAATTTCAGCCCCTTTTCCTCGGCGTCTTTTCGTCGCTCGTTTCGTCTACTTTTGAGCTCAATCACCAGGTGATGAAACATAAAGCTGAATTGTATTCTGGCCAGCCGTGGATAATCCGTCTCTGGGTCCAAAGCAATCGCGTTTCTGAGCGTGGACGTGTCTCGAGACCGCGTGGCGTTCCTGAAACAGACTACGCGCAGACAATCAGACCTCTACAAATGAATTGTCGTGTGAAATATTGCTTCACTTCTCGTCTTAGAGATGGCCTCCACTACTTCGCAACAGCCCAGCATCACGGTCGCTGTCGTCGCCGTGGAGGTTGAGTGGAAAGCGAAAGGCAAAATCAAAACATGAGCGTCGCGCGACGTGCGGGACGTTCGCTGCAGCTGGCGCCAGCTGTCAAGTATTATTGCTGTATTTTGCACGACTGCCCCACCCGCCATGGCTCTCGTCTTCAGCAGTCTCTGATTTGGCGCGGGAAGGCGCTATGGAGCTTGCAGTGGCCCGTGCTCCTTGTTTCGCTATCCTTCTCCACTAAGCTGTCTGTAAGACATCCCAAATAGGCAATTTTTGGCAAACAAGCGTTTCATCTTGTTTCCCAGTCAAAAAGTCGCATTATCACGGCTTCGCTTGTAAATATCTCCCCATCCACAAGTGCCCTTCTCTGTTGACTTATACCCGTAGACTCTTTGTATTTTTTCCTATGTGACGATGCATAAAATATGTGTTTCTGTTGCGGTACGTAGGTGGATTTGTATGTCGTTGCAGATGTAGGTTGAAAACCATATGATTTTTTGTAAAAAATTATATTTTAGAACGACAAAACAACAAAACGCACACAACGCGACGAAAAACACACGAACAAGCCTGAAAATAGATCATAATATATAGGACTGATATTAAACGGTAGCAAAAATACCAAAAATATTATTCGAGCCCAAAAACGCACAGAATGTTGCCCGAAAGATATCAACAATAACCGAACCAAGAGCACCGATTCCTTGACCGCACAACCCAACAACGAATCCTGTGCGACCCCTATTACAAGTTGGATATGGAAGATAGTAACTATTACTAAGTTAAAAATAAAAGAGAAAATAAATAAATAGAAATATAAGACCTGCAAAACGCGCCGTAGAAGCTCTGCGCGAAAGATGCCGAGCCTGGATTCCACACCAGCCGACGGTAGGAGAGTGTATTTAGTACGGCATTACCTGGTAAGATAAAACAAGCACGACTGAAAAGTACCAAAGAGGCCCTCCCCGGCGAACGAATGTCCGTACCAGACCAACCCACGGCGCCGGCAACACATGTCCGTGACAACGGTATGGAGATCATTGATGTTGCTCACGGCTGCACCACTCACACAGTGTAGGCGAACGAACTGAGGATGTCAATATACAGAAGAGTGAAATGCGAGTAAGCTGGGAAGGCTGTGACAAAACTTGTACACATAGCTCTTGTCTACCCAGCGTAACGAAAAAGCCATGTGCGAGTCTTGACCGCATTTCGCCGAAGCACCAGCATACATTGACGGAAAACACAAGACACCGCCAAAGGCTCGGATGTAGTATAGAAACAGGCAGGGTAAACAGCGGCAGCGGGCGACTTAGGCGCGGTGAAGCAACAATGTTTTAACCCACCTTGGCGTTAAATGGCCCACGTCGATGCCGCTTGGCGTTTCCTTCAAGTACTGAGGTATCACGAGACAGTACGATTGCGAACGAATGGTTAACACAGAAAAAAAAATAGGACCTTATTGATAGACGAGAACCTATATATACGAATACGCGCACTCGAGCATACCGTGCCGCGTTGCGAACCTAATAGTACCCCCATAAAAATGTTGCCGACCGATACAGTTGAACAGAAACAGCAAAAAGAGTATCTAAAACTCCTCCTCCGAACCCGTCTCTCGCCAATATGGTGCGGAGAGACATAATAAAGCAAACCAGAATACACGAATGAAAATATAAAAAACAAAAGCTGTTTTCGCGCCGCCCATGCAAAAAAAAAAACTTGTTACGTGTTTTCTCAAACACAACAGGGATGGAAGATGACGAAGAATGAAGAAAGAAGAAAGGAAGGAGACCAAAAATCGTCGCGTAAACGGGACCGAAAGAAGGGTTGATGAACCGTGGTCGCATGCCACAATAATCCGTACAGAAGAGAAGGAGGATTGAAAAAAAATACGAGGAAAAGCGGACCGAAAATCCCGCTGGACACATATCCACCACCTCAAATGCAAAACTTCTTGTCCAACCGGGACAGCGCGCGCGAGTCCTCACCCGACGGTGCAGGCTGGAGGAACTGCTGGGAGGTGCTGCTGCCCGAAGCAGCGGCACCAACACCAACAGGCACGGCGGCGTTCTGGTGCCGCGGCGAGCTGCTCGTGCTGTTGGTGCTGCCGGCGTTGGCGCTGTTGGGTTCCGAGTTGGCCGGTGTCGGGTGCAGCAGCGCCGACAGGCTGGCCTTGTTGCTGCCACCGCCGGTGGCGTTGGTGTTGGTGGTCGCGCCAGCAGCCGTGGCAGCAGCCGTGGGACCGGTCGCGGAGGGCGGCGAGTTGCCCCTGGCATAGGTGGCCTCTGCGCCAAAGTACACCTTGGACGGCGGCGGCTGCGACGGCTGCTGCTGCTGGTAGGGCGGCGTCAGGGCGGACGACCCAGACGGGGGCGCGGCGGGCGGAATGGTGGTCGTGGCCGTCGGCGCCGAGGCGTTCAGGGCAGGCAGAGGGCCCTGCGACACAGGCGGGAGGGTCAGACGGGCACCCGAGGTCGGCGACGTCTGGTACGACGAAGGGCCCGAGGCGGCCGAGGACACAGGTGGCAGAACGGGGGCTGGTGCTTGGTGATAGCCAGACTGTGGCGAGTTGGACAGCGTCTGGTGGTTGCTGCCCACGTAGACGTGGTGCGTGGGCGGCGTGGTGCGGGACGACGAGGCGCCCATGTTCTGTGGCGGCGGCAGTGCCACGCGGTCACCGTAGGGCGGCGCGTGCGGTGGCGGTGGTGCGCTGCTGCCATACGGCTGCGCATGGGGCGGTGGCGGGCCCTGGTGGTAGTAGCCGTGCGGCGGCGGTGGCGGAGGAGGCGGTGTCTGGGAGTAGTGACCTTGCTGTTGTGGAGGGTAGGGAGCCGAAGATGTGGTATAGTGGCCGCTGTACGGGGGTGTGGCGATGGGTGACGGAGGCCAGGAATAGCCCGGCTGGCCATAGGAGGAGGGCGGGTACGGGTGGTGGCCGTGCGGCGGCGGGGGTGGCGGGTGGTGGGCGTAGTGCGGTGGCTGGTGGTGTTGCTGCTGCTGCTGCTGGTGGGACACGGGCACGCGCGACACGGCGGCCACGGGCATGCTGTCGCTCAAGCTCGACTCCGGGTACATACCCTTGACGGGGACGACGCTGCGCAGGCTCGGGTCGATGATGGGCTGCGGCAGGTCCGGATCGCCGGGCCCTGGGCGCGCGTAGTAGGAGATGAGGTGCAGGTGCTGGCCGTTGGAGGTGGTGATGCTGAACGACTGCTTCATGAGACCGTCCGCCTTGTAGCGGTAGCCGTCGGGTTCGCCGTCGTCCTGGTCTTCGTCGCTTCCGCGGCCCGTCGAGTCTGGCGTCTTGCCCGACACCCGGCGCATTGTGTTGAAGCCGCCGCCACGCTTGCCCTCCATCTCGCGGTAGGTCAGAAAGCTGCCGGACACACGACTGGCGCTCCACGACTTGCCGTCCGTCCACCGGCGCATGCCGGCTTCCCGCTCGTCCCACACAAACACGGAGCCAGACCGGATAGCTTGCCGCTCCTTCTCCGACAGCCGTCTTTGCACACGCGGCAACAGGCCGAGTCGGCAGGCCTCAAACAGCTTGATGGCGTCGGCAGGCGTCCGCACCATGCCGTGGTACGTCTCCATGGGGTGTTTTTGGGAAGACATTTTCATTTGTGCTGTGTTGGTGTGATAGGAAAGAAGTGAAAAAAAAATTTCGATGAGAATCAAGGAATCAAAACAGCAGTGTTGTTCGTTTCGATCGGGGTTTCTCGACGCATCTAAGTCGCCCAATCGCGAACTCGGACACTACCCACCCGTGTCACTCTGTCGACACCGTGTCGCCGCAGAGTATGTCAATGTGAATTTCCCAAGAAGCTCAACCTCTTTCCGGGGATCGAAAATACGTTAATCAGATTGCCGAGTAGGCCGACGCAAAAAAAGGGTTGCTAAGTTGCCCGAGATGGTTGTCGTCGGAAGAGGTGGTCAAGTATATGTTCAAGCCGATCGTAAGATGGGATCAAAGATCCAAGGTCAATGCCAACAGGGCGAAAGGTTATGGGGCTCTTTGTGGCCCGCCAAAGAAAAGATGTCCGCGTCAACAGGGCGTCTTGGCGTGGTCGCAGCGCAGCGCAGGACAAGGGTCGCAGTCGTCCCAGTTGACGAGCGAAGGGAGTTTGCGTTGATGGAGCGAACCGCTGCTGGGGGTGGGTAGATTCAGAATGACTGCCACGCGGCAGGCAGTTTTGGAATTTGAAAGTGGAAAGGCGGCGCTGGTAGGGTGAGGGTGGTGAAGTGGACTGTGTGGCGTGCCAAGACAATGAGCGACAGAAGAGGGAGTCGATCTTGGCGTCGGATCTCTTTTCTCGAGAAGGATGAAGAGAGAGAGGGCAAGTGTAGTCGAGCGTGGGTAAAATGGCGTGGAGGGGGAGAGACAAAAGCTGAAACGCAGCTGCAGAGGCCTAAACGATTGCAGACGTGTTTTGTCGGTTTGTGATGGAAATGCGAAAATGTGGACACGGCCTTTTGATGACGTTAGCTTTTAATCTGGGTGGAAACTCTTTTATTTTTGTCGCTGAGCAACACCCTGAAGAGGAACCTGAGACGCAAGCGAGAAGAGAGATGACAGGAAACGAGAGAAAACGAGAGAAGGATAGTGAATGACGAGATAAGTTTATGTGCGAACACAAATTCAAGAACACAAGAACATGTGCAACGCAAAGTAGTAAATGCATGGAAGAGTTTTTGAAGGGGGGGTGAGAGACGCTGGGAGTCTGGGATGCGGAAAACGATCAGAGAAGGGAAAGGTAAGTTGGCAAGAAGGACGGGAAGGGAGTTGCGACGGAAAAGCAACGTCAATCAAGACAACGTTAAGATCCAGAGGTAAAAGGTAGATGGTAAAAGGGCACAAAAACCAAAGAGGCCCATGTCGAGCCAACCATGGAAATGCGGCATTGGCTTCTATTGGCCACTTTAGAGTCAGGACACATTGGACCGCTTGTTGTTGCCCTTGTCCGTCTTCTCTTCTTCTTTTCCCTTCCTTCTGACTGCTTCTTTGGGTCATTTTCGGTGGTGTGGAACACGTCCCGCAATGGGCGAAACGCGGAGGAGTTCGAGATGTTCAAGGGTTTGGGTTTGCGTGGTGTTTGGAGAGATGGGGGATGGGGTCCGGGTGCCAAAGGCCACGCACGCACGCACGCATGCACGGATGCACCCGCCGAAGCAGATAACCCTCCATGGCGTATGTTGCGGTGCTAGATGGACAATGGAAATGAGGAAAAAAGGAGGGCATTCAGAGATACCCAAGACACGGACGAAATTGCTCAACCAGGAAGAAGAGAGAAGTGGAGAGGAGGAAGAAAAACCAACTGGCGACCATCGAATCAAGTTGCTATTGACCTTCAGAGCACGTAGTCTCGAGTAAAGAAAAAAGGAGATGGAGAGAAAAAGACATCCCGTATCGCATTTTAACGCAGCGAGAGCAAAACAGAGTACCGTGAGGGTCGATCAAGAGTTGCAGCCGTTATGCAAAGCCGTTCTGCAACAGAGAAAGACAGGCCTTTGAAAGGACTCGTAGATTTTCCAACAAGGCGGTAGGGCCTTCCCTGGGGACCCCCCCCAAAACGAGGATGCGAGGGTCAGACGGTCGATCATGAAAGAGAACGGGGATAAAAGACGACAAAGGGCGCGTCACCCCCAGGGGGGGTGGTCAATCATGGAAAAGACCGAGTGGGATGGTCGACGGTAAATAATGTTGATTGCCGCCTAAAGTTGCCCGTTCTGACTTGACCGAAAGTAAAGTGGTTGTTGTCTCCGGCGTAGATTGCCAGGGCGTACGTTTTTCGCTTTTCATTTTTTTCGTTTTCTTTTCTTGCTTTTGACATGCTTTATATGCAGTTTGAGGTCCATGCGAGTTCCAGTTCGAGTTCCCGTTTCGGTCGTGGCCATGGTCGTCTTCGTTCCGTCGGAGGCGCGTGCTGTCGGCTTTGTTTGCCGTCCCTTGCAGCCGCAGCCCAGTGACAGGTTGTTTTGTTCCCTGGGTTGGGGGAGAACGGGGTTCCAGAAGCCAAAAAGGATGCGACTTGTGACGTGAGAAAACAGCGAGACCCGAGTGACGTCGGTACCAGATCCAGTGATGCCGCTAAGCAAGCTTCATTTTCGAACAATGCTATTCGGTGGGCTGCTTTTCTTTCTTTGCTCAAGCGGTGGGTGCGTCCAGACCGTCCAGGGAGTAGTCGTCATCCGTTGTCCGTTTGCATTTTTTGTTGCCGCTCTCTTGACTCAAGCCGTCGGTTGCTTTATTGTGTGGGGACGACGCTCTCTCTCTCTTGATATCCCGTTGACGGTTCGGTTCATCGTCCCCTGGGCTCTCTGATCGGTCCTCTTTTGATCGTCGTCTCCCCGGATGCCATTGTGTCCAACTTTCTCTTTGCTCCTCTCGGATCCGTGGGCCAGTGGTCAATGGATGAAGGTCCGGGCCATGGTTGACCCAGGTATGGTTTTGCCGTGGATGGTGCGGACGAATACGGACGAGTGCCGATGATGCCGACAAAGTTGTGTATGCGACAGGCCGTTTTCTTTCTTTCTTTTTTTTTTGTGACGACCCCTGGTCACTCACTCCGTTTGTCTTTGTCCCCAGACAAGAGATGTGAGAGAGACTGTGTTGAGGAGTGGAGAGGCAAGACGAGACAGGCCAGCCTGCAGGCTCGCAGGGTTGACATTTGTGCTTGACTGCACTGGGATGTTCAAACATACAGGGTCCATATATGCGTATTGTGTGACGGGAGAAACAAAGCAGCGTAAAGCAAAGGTAAAGGCAGAGCAAAGCAGAGCAAAACAGAGCAAAGCAGAGTGAAGCAAAGGCAAAGAGCTCTTTTCTCGGGGCGGTTCCTTCTTCAGGGTCACTGGCATGGTTTGTGCTGTTTCGTGGTTGACATACCTGGTACGGCGATGTGCGCGCAATGACGTCTGATGTGCGTGGGCGCGTGCGGGAAGAATCGATGTTCGTGAGGATGTGGAAAGGAAAGAAACAAGTACGAAAGGAGACAGATGGAGAGGTGGGACAGATGTAGGCGAGCCGAACTGACAAGCAAAGCAAACAAGACAGAAGTACAAAAGCAAAAAAGCAAAGATGACGAGAAGTCGCCCCTTGGAAGTGGACTAACTACGTCTTTCTGTCAAAACGGCGTGGAACGAGCCAAGAGGTCGAGAACGAGACTTGCAAGACAAGACAAAACAAAGCGAAAAAAAGGGTCGTGGGAGGTGTTAAGGAAGCAAAAGGGACTTTTTGGTTTTTGTTCAAGACAAGAAACGACAGAGTCAGAAACGAACGAGTAAGAAAGCAGTCAACGCAGTAACAGCCAAGGTTGCCAAGAATCTAGAGCCGTTCCCAAATGGGGTTGCAAGGGGTTCTTGGAAGGCTTGGCTTTTGCGGGTTGTCTTATCTTGCTCTGGCCCAGAAGGCAAAAGGTAAAAAGGTAAAAAAGGTGGGCCGGCAAGGTAAAAAAAACGGTGCGGCCTGGTAAAAAAGCTTGGCTCGGTTGTTGGTGGCTCTTGGTGGCTCTTGGTGGTTCTTGGTAGTTCTTGGACACCCTCTGAGCCACAAATCTTATTCGTAAACGTTAATTCCGTTTTCCTCGTCTCTTCGGTCTTGTCGGCTTGTCGCGCTTTTGATCTGGGAGAAACGAGGAAAGCGAAGCAAAAAAAGAAAACAAAAAGATGACAAAGTACAGAGGACGGAAAGCGCTGAGGACACGACAAACAGGAATGACCTAAAGACTGAAGGGAGAAACGGGACAAGAGAGCTTCGTCTTTGACGCCTCGTCTGGGCTGTCGTCTCTCCCTGGAGCGACTTTGAGGCTCTCGGGGCTGCTTGAGCTTGTTGCTGCCGTCGACAGCGAACGTGGAAACGGAGGAGCCCCTGGGTCTGGTCTGGGGTGGTGTGCTTCTGCTTCGTAAGTGCGCCGCCGGAAAATAGGCGAACAATGGGGAGGGGAGATGAATGCGACGATGTGGCGTGTGGATTGGATGCGGTTGTGGTGTGGGCGTAGTCGTCGGGGCCCGTTGTGGGTTTGCGAGAGGAAAAAAGGTTGTCTGGGCGGTCCCAACTTGCGCATGTCGTGGATCGTGTACGAAGTACGTCGCATGGCCCCATCGTTCTTTCCTTTTTGATTGCCCTTTGCCTTTCTTTCCGTTTCTGACGTTCTTCCCAAGTATGCTCGGCCTTCTGCGTCCGTTGCTGCTTCCCTTTCCAACGGCTTTTGCAGGCCTCTTGCCTTCCTGCCTTTCTTCTAGCTGCCTGCTCTGGGCTGTTCTTTCCTTGTCAACGTTTACTGTTTCTTGCCCTTTTCCGTAAGTATTCCCGTTCTGCGTACTTTGTACGTTGGAAGAAGCGGCAACAAGTGGGTCGTTGCTTGGCAGGCAGGACCAACAGGAGGGGAGGGGGTGTGCATAGCAAAACTCTCTTTTTTAATGTTTAGCTGGGACTGGGACTGGGACTGGGACTGGGACTGGATCAAGTGCTAAAAAGGGGATTGACAGGGAGCGAATGGCGAGGGGGGAGAGACGCAATCCATATTCGGCTTGGCTTTGCAAAAACGTTCAGTACGCCGCATATCTCCGCACACCAGCAGGTCCGTACCCCAAGGGCATTTGCTTCCCGTCCTGCCGCCCTACTGCCCTACTGCGTACGTTAGACTGCTTCTGACCAATTCACGAGAGGCGCTTTCATTGTGGAGGCTTGTCGTTCTACGACATAGAGGAGAGAGTGTTGCGTAAGGCATCAGCTAGCGTGACAGCGTCAGGGTGGAGCGTGTCTGTATGACAGACGGGGCCTTGCTTGTCGTGCATGTACGGAGGGTCATCGCAACGAGCGAGGAAGGAGACTTGAGGAGACCGTTTTGGCAGAGAGCAGCGAGGTCGTCGAGCACAGCAGAGTTGAGAGATGAGAGTCTCTCTCGGCAGGCGAGAGGCCGATATTGTGGAGTGGAAAAGTGGAGCCGCATGGGTATTGTAGTATTGAGGTAAATCGTACATGTATGTTGGTGGTGGTTGGTGCTTGCAGGCCGCCAAAGGGCGTGACGGCGATAACCAAGCTTTTTTATTGCGCCCTTACGATATGTTTGTGCTTCAGTTTTGGGAATTTATTGAACAGTTCAGTTGGATTCGTGCGAGGACGATTGCAAGAGCCATCTTCGCCTGTGGTCACGGGATATGTTGGCGGCACGTCGTACCTTACCCGACACACTGGTGACTGTCCTGTTCAGGAAGGAGGGAGATGGGAGCCGGAGAATTGATGCTGGGAACATGGGAGGAGCAGACGACGGTCTGGAGGTCAGGAGACGAAGGAGGAAGGAGCAGAGTAGAGAGCAGAGAGGGCAGCGCGAGAGTGAGAGAGGAAGGTGTGGTTACATGCGACGAAGTGGAGGGCAGGAGCGCCTTGTGGTCAGAAGTTTAATCGTCCTTCTTTGTTTCTGTTTTTGTACGCCATACTCCGTTATTGCGATGCAGAATGATGCCACGGCGCACACAAAGGTGAAAGAAACGGCAAGCCTCTTGGGAGCATGGCCTGGCTCTTGGCAACAAAGCGAGACGGTCATGTCCTCTTCCTGTTGGATTGCTGGATGCTGGGCTGGGCAGTCTCGCGCAGCTTGGCAGCGCTTCCTCCTCGCCTTGGCGAGCCTTCATGTGGCGGGACAAAAGGCCACGAGAAGCACAAGACTCGCGAGAAGGAACCATGGTGAGGCCACCAGAGGCCACCAGAGGCCACCAGAGGCCACCAGAGGCCACCGACAGCGCAACAGTGGCGATCCACGCGGAGAATGGTCCTCCTCGCCAGGGCTTGGCTGGCTGGGCATTGCTCCCGAATCCACCGTGTCTGTTCGCCGTTCGTCTGTTCCGTATCTGTTCCGTATCTGCTCCGTCATTTGTCGTATATGTCGTACATTGCACAAGAAGCAAGAGCAAAGACAGGACGTACCTCGTACTACGGCGCCATCTCTGCGTCTTGCATCTAAGCCTGGGTCCTGACTTGGGCAGCGTCAGCGCCGGAGTCCCGGAATTTATGAGCAAGTCTTGGCCCGAGGAGGACAGCAAGTGACAAAAGAATCAGAGAAACGAGGTGAAGGAGGTTCGGAAAACTCGCTCTCGCACCGCCTATTGCCCCGTCTGCGTGTCAGACAGCGACAGTAATCCATTTTTTCTTTTACTACCACATACGAAATACAGATACGTGTAATACGCAATACGGTAATGCGACCAGGGGGGGCTTAGTACGTCGTTCTATGGGCTGTGTGGATGCAGCCCACGGAGATGAGCATGCTGGGCAGAGAGGAAGACAGCAAGACAGGTTCTCGGACACAATTGTGTCTGTTGCCACGGCGTATTGCTATGACGGATGCCGTACGGAGTATTGCATCTGCTTCCGTCTGGCTCTGCATACAAAAGGCTTGCGGATTATGAGCAGCATTTTATGAGCGTGTCCACCATCCATGTCCGCGACATGGACTTACGCCCCATTCGGATGGCACGGAAAGCGAAACGGGCGCTGAGATGCGTCGGCGCATCGGCCATTGTTCCAATTCGATAGTGGGAGCCAATAGTGCAAGCCTAGCGACCGCCCAGGGCAGCTGTCACAGCCAAAGAGCAAGGCCGCAAGGAATGAATACTGTGGTAAGAATAGGGGCAGGGGACAGAAGAGTGGAAACGGTGGGAGATGACCGACGTCTTACGAATCATGGTGGAATCACGCGTGCGTGGCCTTTTTTCCTTCTCCACCCCTCCCACCGTCGAGGGAAAGAGGTGATTGAAAAAGGGTAAAAGGGAAAAGAAGGAGAAAAAGGGTCAAAAAAGACCAGATGCCAAGACTGCCGAGTGGGTTCGCCGCATTTCAAGCTTAAATGTTTCTCTGGTGGGCGCCAGAAGGGGCGAAGAAAACGCGAGAAACGGCCCAAAGGAGCCAGGGAAGCGGAAATCGGGCGACATGCGTGCCGCAGGTCCAATACTGATCCTTGACTTTTGCTTGGCCAGGCTGCCTCACAAATGCATGCCACAATGTCTTTTTTGTTTTACATTTTTATTATGTCGTGACCATCTGCCAAGTAATGTTTCGTACACAGTACCGAGACCAAAAGGGAGGAGCACTTGCTCAATGTACTGATCGATCGTCTCGATCAACACATTGGTAAATACCTTGTCAGTAGGAAAGAAAGAAGGGGCAGAGAGCGGAAGTGCATAAAAATAATAAAAACAGGATGGAAATAGACTTTGACTCGCCATCGTAAATCGTACCCACCACAGTGGACCTTGGTCTTGAAGGCCTCGGCATTTCATCAAGCCAAGCAAACTAAGCTACCAAACAACCAAGCAAAAACCAAGATGTCTGCTGGCAAAACCACATCGTCGATGATGGATGGTGATCACCGACCATGAATATCACTAATCCAGGACTCCATTGCAGGAAATGCCGGGATGCAGACAGACCTTGTTTCGCGTAAATTGTCAACTCGACGACAGGGCGAGCAATTGCAGGAGCCTAAACAAATGATGAGGAAGAAGAAGCCTGGCAGGCTACAACACAGAACACAGAAGCCTGATAAGGCCACTGCGAATGCCATTTTGAATGTTCAGTACGACATGACATACTCAGTACGAAATACGGAGATGTGAAAATCAAATGCAGGTCTCGACGATGCCGGCAGTTCTTTGGCCTTGTTTTCCGTGCGCACAAACCACCCTCGAAAAAAACGTACCTAACCCGCCCGTCCACACCACAAACCACACTCCCTTTTCGCCAGCCGTGCTGTGCCAGGCGTTGCTTCGTATTCAGCAAAGGGGAATAAGTCGAAAAAAATTCCAATCTGGAAAGGTTCTCCGTATTGCCCGCACGAAAAAAGTCTTGAAAGGGTTATGCTTATTAAAAATAGCACGATTGTAATGATGCCTGGGGTTGTTCTGTTGTTCTTAACCACGGGTTTTTCTGTTCGTATTTGCTTGCAGTCACAGTCACTTGTTTTACTTTTCTTGAAAAGCCAGGACAATAAAAAGGCCCAGGCATTCGATGAGCCCTCCGTTCACGAAACGGAATGTCAGTCGCGTGCTGTGCAGCTGGACATTTCGGAGTACCTACATCTGCCAACTCCGTGTGTTTCCCTTTCGCCCCTGGCCGCCAAGATCTTCCTGGCTCGACCGTGGGCGGTTGTTTCAAAAACGAGAAACAATTGATCCCCCGAAATGCTACCAACCATGCTTGTATTCGTATGATACGGCGACGCGCTTGTTTTCTTGACCTTTTGTTCTTGTTTTGTGCCTGAAAGAATGTCCAACATATGCATCCGTTCTGTGAGGCTGTCGACTCTCACTCGATTCTCACTCGACTCTCAATTCTCGGCACGCGTCAGCTGCTCTGTAATGAAGAGCAAATGGGTGGAGGGTACAAACGACCCTGCACATCGCACTTGCCAAAAGACGTCGTATATGTACGAAGTACTTTGTACGTTCCGTCTTTTCCGATTTATTGTATTGTGCAGACTGCAGCCGCCCGCTCCGTTTAAAACGGCATGAGCCGATCCAACCGATTCGGAGCAGGACGCAGTCTGTAGGATACTTACCTGCGAAAACAAGCACAAGAAGGGGAGTACCTCAGTACCTGCAGGGCCTTCAAGGGCAATGCAGTCGAGACGTTTGAATTGCAAACGGCCATTGCGCGACAGACGTTGGGCAGAGGCTGGAGGACGCACGATTCCTGTTTGTTCGAGTCACAACGGGCCAGGAGCGGTGGACAGCAAATCCCGTCCAGACAACGACGGACTTGAACAGCGTGGAAGGAAAAATGGCTGCTGCTTTTGTGCAGCGTGTTCATGCATCGTACAAACAGTGTGCCGATGTCCTGCCGTGTACCGATCATGGTGGGTAGAGCCAAGGTACAGAATACACACTGGAAGTACGAAGTACTCCGCACAGAACGTGAGACAACGTTTACGACGTATCGGTTCGTTGGCGGTCGACTTGCCCGTTGTGGAAGGCAGGTCGCCCAAACGGGGTTTTCATGGGAGACCCAATCTCTCTTCTGACCATGTAAAAAGGTGCTGGACACAGCCACAATACAAACACCTACCACACCTGTCTGTTGTACGGGGTAATTGCTCTGTACACGTAAGACCACTGGTGGAATGGCTCCCTGCCCAGCATATTTTGAGCCCAAAATGATATTAAAAGGGGAGACAAAACAGTGGATTTGTTCCTGATGCACCGCCAAATTTTCAACTATTTCTACTGTACGCGTATGCTCAGACAAGGGAGAGGGAGATCACGAGACGCGGCCAGTCGTGGCCAAAATAGGTCGTTTTTCATTTTGGCAAGTATTTTTGGAAGAGAGTTTAAGCTTTACGATAGGAGGTGTTTCGTGGCGTCGTCTCGATTCAGTGCGTCATCCTTGGCTTTTCGCATGTCTTTCCTAGACCCCTTTATTAGGAACCACGCAGAGACACACGATCGCGCCTTGGCATGGCCAGGCCCAGACCCCCCCAAAGGAAAGCCACAACCAACACACGGAAAAAGAAGAGGAAAAAAGACCAAGACATAGTGTAAAGTCCATTTGTGTCGTACAACATACGACATGCCCAAACATTGGTGGCGTCTACCAGGGCAAATGAGAGGCCTGGTCCTGCATTGCTGGGAGCTATTGGCGTCTTTTTTTCTACTCCTAATACTGGGCGCTAAGTCGGACACTCGAATTCATGACAGCCACGACGGATGACGAGGAGAGTGAACGAGGGTGCTCCTTGGTAGTCTTCTGGCTCGCCAACAGCATATTGTGTATTTTGCTCTAACTTTTTACAGCTACGGAATTTGCCGTTGTGGCGATATGAAATGGACAACAGATGGACACGAAATGCCCCCAAGAGGACTTTCTTTAATCGAGATGAATCGATACGTGTCACTTGATATTCTTCACATGCTTGACCGTTTTCATTGTCTTTGTGTGAAAAGGAGTGCTTTAAAAACAAATAAACCTGTATCGCTGAAACGCTGGAACGGGATCGTCCTGTCGGTTCGATTGTCCTTTGTCTCCCTGCCCTGGCCCATCCACACCCCTCCTTTCCGTTTCGTATGTAAAGAAAAATTGTGGCGGTTGTTCAGTCCGCTCATCTACCGGAGGATCAGGGCTTGGCACAAAGGGAGATAGAAACAAGAGCATCTGGCGGGCAAAGTACAACATACTTCGTAGGGCAAAAAAGGCAGTGGAAGCATTCTCTCTGTCTTGGCGCACGGGACGTCGGTGGGGGTCGCATTGCACATTCCAAATCTATCGCAGTGCTCGATACTTCGAGCTCTTTGCTCTTCACTGTAGCTTTGTGTTTCGTCCTTGTGAACCTCGAAAGCGGAGTGGGCAGCTCGTAATTTCTCCTAATCTCCATGCTGTCTTGGATCATGCCATTTTCCGTGCATCTCAGGACATTCCGGCAGCCCGTGAGAGATAAGGAGAATGAAGAGAAGGCAGAATGGAAGCACGGGGAAGAAATGCAAAGGGAAGTACAGCGTCAGATAACGGCTTTTGTGTCGTACAGCTAAATCTCGGATCTCACACGACCCCAGGCGGGTGTGCCGCTGCAAGAGGCCGGTTAGAGAAGAATTTGGGTGGGAGACAAATCGATAGATGGTTTGTTTTCACCTGGAACCTTAAAAATACCAAAGAACAAAAGAAATAAAAATAAAAAAGAGAATCACACCACGAAGTGAATAGAGGAAGACGCGTATAACAGATAACTGAAAGTGCCTGTAAAAAGCTAGCACATAAGCTTAATCCTTCCCTTCTGTTGATTCCTTCAAAACCTCTTCCAAGACGGTGACATTCTTCCGGCACCCGCGCCTGGTTTCACCCAGCGGACCTGTTCATGTCATCCTTGTGCCTCCTGTCGTTCGTTCGCAATACGTATCACCAGTACGCCGTACGACTTGTAACAGGACGTAGAAAGACCGAGAAATAGATCCGGCGGCAAAACAAAAGGCAACGTATGGCAGCAGAGTCACACACAAGCGGCCACGCCTTTGACGAACTCACTTCTTTGTACCACCTTCCTTCTCGTGCGTAAGGCCCGGTCCGTTGTCGAGCAAGTCCCATTTCTCACCCTCTTTCTTGTCTTTTGACTTGACAGGTGCGACATGGCAACGGCCGGACGCACATGCATCGCCTTCTCCATATTGTTCTTGTCTATTGTTTACCATCTATTCCATACCGCATCCACCGTGCCGTGTCCCTCGGGTTCATGCTTATCTTTGCAAAAGAGCTGCTCTACCCCCACGAACAGCGTAGGAATAGGAAGAACTCTAAAATCGATATTGACAAAAGAAAATGCATCTTTACCCGGCGGAAAGACCTGCCTATACGTGGCAAAGGGGAAAACCGTTCAATACAATTGTCCTTGCAGGGGTTCGAACGTATGCGCCGTATGAGGCGAACGTCACAAAACGTTGGTGCAGGTGCAGACCAGCGGACCTTAGTGGCCGAGTTAAGGCCATGGGACGGTGACCGGGGTTGGGGGACGGTGGAAAACAAGGAAATAAAAAGGGAAATACAAAGAGTGGAAGAGGGTCCTTGAGTCAGTATCTTAATTGACGGTTTACTGTTCGAAACACACAAATGCCGTCGTTTTGCGGATGCAGCTGCACTTTTTGACGAAGAACATACGACGACACCCTCTACCTCTGATCGCCATGCCCTGCCATGCGATGGGCCTATGCGTCCGCAAGAAGAGCGGAGACGTCCTCAGAACACACCCATCGAGCATGCAGCACATTGATTGAGAAACGCAAGATAAAGGGAAGTAGGACGAAGAAAGCCCCGTCCCAAACCCGGGCCGTATCTTTGTCGGTCCGCAGTGACATCAGTCTGCCGCCGTTTTCTACTTTACTATATTGCCAATTTATCCCGCACCGGGAAAAAAACAAAGGGAACAACAAGCGAGCCTTCTTTTATCTCCTTCCCTCTTCCCTTCCACCTTTTCCATTTCTAACCGTCTATTATTTTTCGGGACCGAGAAAGGGTGTCCCCTTTGCGTTGACGGTCATAGGCAAGTTGATAGCAAGTCGACATCAACGCAGATAGATGAAACCGAAAAGTCACGTTAGATACGGTGACCTACCAAGATACTGCGTAAACAAAAAAATTGGAGAGACGGCATCTCGGAATACGGCATCGAGATAACGTGTCTTGTTCGTCGTTGTTTAAAGTGGTTAAAATGGCCAACGTGGTTAAAAAGTGGTAAAGTGGTAACATGTGCTTGCCTGCCCGCTTGCCACTCGCGCCTGCCCTCTTTTTCTGCAAGACGTCAACATGCGCACCTGCCCCCTTTGGGCTCGTTTTGGGCCTGTTTGGTTCGCTACACCCTTGTTTGCCAAGAGATTGAAAAACGTGCCACGAGGCCCCACCTTTGCGCGCCGGCCGCCCGCCTCCTTCCTCTTTATTTAAGAAGCCCTCAGGCCCTGTATTTTACAATATTTTTAAAATAAACTTCTGAGCGAAGAAGGGAAATAAGGGCAGGAGCGTGCGTTTCTGACGCTAAACCCGGCCTAAACGGCAGGCAAGAGACACAAGTCCAACGACGAAGGCAAGCAAGACTGGGCAAGGTTCGAATGAGTTGAATGTACGAAATACTTATTGCTTGGCT